ACGGACAAGGTTTATGTTTAGGGTTATGATTACGTTTAAGTTTTGTTGTAAAGTTCGCATTCCGAACCTGATGGTTCATGGGGCAAATGAAGTAGAGTTCAACTGTTTCTGTGACCTCGGCATATGACAAGATAGTGTACAGCCTCATTTAATTTCCCAAACATAATTTAGGTACCCATTAGAGCTGGGTGGACTCACGGACGATCTACTGACTTGAACCCTCTGGTATATAAGGCTCGATCCCTTCCAACACTAAAAATTAAGAACAAAGAAGAAGAACCCGGTTTCGAATTCGAGTCTTTCATGTTTGCAGTCTAGCGCTCTACCGCTGGGCCAAGTTTTGTTGCGGGGTTGAAGATACCTCTCATGCATTAGGCTTCTTAGCTTGGCGAATATGTAGGTGTCGTTAATGGACATAACCTAAACATTCACACTTGAATCCATCAACGCCAAAGTCTTTTTAAAAATTACTATTAACTTAACCTCTCTTAATTTGTTTGCTCTCCAGGATTACACTCAGAGACTACAAGTTTTGATTGACATCAGTAGCCAACCTCCCAGCGTGCATCTATGTCACTGTATCCAATGGCAATGTGCCGGGTACTGAGTTCGAATCCACGACAGACTACCTACCCCGAACACCAAAATCATCTTATAAACGGATATTCAGTGTGACACAATCGGACTTTATTTTCCTATTTTGGGTAAGTCAGGGCTGTGTCTGTCACAATAGGGCTGGTAAGTAGGTCACCAACCAGTTCTACGGCTCAATAAAACCTGCATGAGCCATATAACTGGTTGGTGACCTACTTACCAGTCCTATTATATCATCAGTTATTTATATAAAATGCTACAGTTCGTATACTCATTCCGGGTCACTAGGCATAAACATTTATTTGAAAATAGATAAGTTCTTTAAGTTTTTACTGAATGAAGTATTATAGCCTTTATTGCTGTGGGTATTATTATTATCATTTTAAAATTCTTAAGAAAGCTTAACACTAATGATTTTTTTTCTGTTTCTACTATTGTCGTTTTGATAATAGTTATAGTAATAGTAATAATAATAGTAATAATAATAATAATAATATTTTTTATAATAATAATAGTAATAATAATGAAGATGATGATGATGATGATAATGTAATGGTTTTATGGTTATGGTTATGGTGGTAATAATAATAATGATAATAATTATTATTATTATTATTATACCCATTACTGTTGTTTTTATTTCATATTATCCAAACAAAATTAAAAACTTCATAATTTAATTGAACTCGCTGCACTTGTGGTCTAATATTGCTCTAGTCTCGAGTCTAGACCTTAAATAATTTGTAAAAATAAATTTCGGAAAAATTAATCACATTATTTTCTTTTTGCATATAATCAGTAGCCTATGTAAATAAATGTTCCTTTTTTCACAATTTTGAAATCCGATGTTTTGCTAAGTTAGTAACATATTATCATGTTTCATCTTTTATAAAAAGTTGATAGGAATTTGTTGACCTAATTTTCAATTACCTGTTTACCTTTGAAGTCACTTAGCTTATTCAGCAGAAAAGCTTTGTTAAAAAATATCTTTGTTCAGGCTTTTTACAATAATATTCCATCAACTGTAAAAATGGCGCGAATTATGTCCCCTGCTTAAGTATTTATATCGACACGATTAACGCCCATCCTCTCTTTCTCTGGGCATTTGTTGGAAAACAAAACGAAATTATCGAAGATCGTGTCAAGTGTCTAGAAAAATGTAATCAGTTAATTATTAAATTATTAATTATTGAGTTAATTAATCTGGACAGTGTCCTATTTATAGTTTTGCTTTTAATATGTTTCTTTCTGAATAAGGTTTTAAAGGTTTTAAACATTTACTTAACAAAATATATAAACTTTTTTTTCGTGTTTAGGTTTATTAATGAGTATAGACACCGACTGAAATATTAAGCAGGCAAATTTTCCTGACAACGACCAAAGTAATAAAACGAATATTTGAAGGTCTGTAAAAAACCATAGGCAATGATGTTGTTTGTTGACATATTATGTTTATGTTGTTGGCCTGGTTGGTAGGAAAAGCACATGGTGGTTAACCCGAAACGTCAAGAGTTCGAACTCCCTACATATGTGGCTTCTTTCGGCAGCTCCTGCGACATAACTATTGTCATGTATAGTTGACGCCTCTCCCTTGGGTTCATCAGATGTGTGGAGAGGAGATGGGGGGGGGGGGGGGGGGGTTCTCATACACGAGCAACATCTGTCTCTTCTCAACTTGCTGCCTTGATTTCCAACTGCCTCCAGGTGTATCCAGTCTTCTTGGTGTCTTCTTCCAACTCACGTCTCCAGTTCTCTCTTGGTCGGTCTCTTTTCCTTTTTACCCTGTGGATTCCAGGTGAGGGCCTGTCTTCTTATGCTGGATACAGGCTTCCTGAGTGTGTGGCCAATCCACTACCATTTTCTATGGATGATTTCTTCAACTGGAAGTTTGTTTGCTCGTTGCCATGTTACCTCATTTCTGGTGGTGCTACGGTCAACGTTTTCGAAGGATCGGGCCCCAGTAAATATGACTCTAGTAACTGTGGCTCCAGTAACTGTGGCCCCAGTAAATGTGGCCCCAGTAAATGTGACTCTAGTAACTGTGGCCCTAGTAACTGTGGCCCCAGTAAATGTGACTCTAGTAACTGTGGCCCCAGTAACTGTGGCCCCAGTAAATGTGACTCTAGTAAATGTGACTCTAGTAACTGTGGCCCCAGTAACTGTGGCCCCAGTAAGTGTGACTCTAGTAAATGTGACTCTAGTAACCGTGACTCTAGTAACTGTGACTCTAGTAACTGTGACTTTAGTAACTGTGACTCTAGTAACTGGTACTCTAGTAACTGTGACTCTAGTAACTGTGATTCTAGTAACTGTGACTCTAGTAACTGTGATTCTAGTAACTGTGGCCCCAGTAACTGGCTCTAGTAACTGTGGCCCCAGTAACTGGCTCTAGTAACTGTGGCTCTAGTAACTTTCCCCCCCCCCCCAGTAACTATGGCCCCAGTAACTGGCTCTAGTAACTGTGGCTCTAGTAACTTTCCCCCCAGTAACTGTGACTCTAGTAACTGTGATTCTAGTAACTATGGCCCCAGTAACTGGCTCTAGTAACTGTGGCCCCAGTAACTGTGACTCTAGTAACTGGCTCTAGTAACTGTGGCCCCAGTAACTGGCTCTAGTAACTATGGCCCCAGTAACTGGCTCTAGTAACTGTGGCCCCAGTAACTGGCTCTAGTAACTGTGGCCCCAGTAACTGGCTCTAGTAACTATGGCCCCAGTAACTGGCTCTAGTAACTGTGGCCCCAGTAACTGTGACTCTAGTAACTGGCTCTAGTAACTGTGGCCCCAGTAACTGGCTCTAGTAACTGTGGCCCCAGTAACTGGCTGTAGTAACTATGGCCCCAGTAACTGGCTCTAGTAACTGTGACCCATGTAACTATGGCTCTAGTAACTATATCCCCAGTAACTGTGACTCTAGTAACTGTGACCCATGTAACTATGGCTCTAGTAACTATATCCCCAGTAACTGTGACTCTAGTAACTGTGGCCCATGTAACTATGGCTGTAGTAACTATATCCCCAGTAACTGTGACTCTAGTAACTGCGACCCATGTAACTATGGCTCTAGTAACTATATCCCCAGTAACTGTGACTCTAGTTACTGTGACCCATGTAACTATGGCTCTAGTAACTATATCCCCAGTAACTGTGACTCTAGTAACTGGCTCTAGTAACTGTGGCCCCAGTAACTGGCTCTAGTAACTATGGCCCCAGTAACTGGCTCTAGTAACTGTGGCCCCAGTAACTGGCTCTAGTAACTGTGGCCCCAGTAACTGGCTCTAGTAACTATGGCCCCAGTAACTGGCTCTAGTAACTGTGGCCCCAGTAACTGTGACTCTAGTAACTGGCTCTAGTAACTGTGGCCCCAGTAACTGGCTCTAGTAACTGTGGCCCCAGTAACTGGCTGTAGTAACTATGGCCCCAGTAACTGGCTCTAGTAACTGTGACCCATGTAACTATGGCTCTAGTAACTATATCCCCAGTAACTGTGACTCTAGTAACTGTGACCCATGTAACTATGGCTCTAGTAACTATATCCCCAGTAACTGTGACTCTAGTAACTGTGGCCCATGTAACTATGGCTCTAGTAACTATATCCCCAGTAACTGTGACTCTAGTAACTGTGGCCCATGTAACTATGGCTCTAGTAACTATATCCCCAGTAACTGTGACTCTAGTAACTGTGACCCATGTAACTATGGCTCTAGTAACTATATCCCCAGTAACTGTGACTCTAGTAACTGTGACCCATGTAACTATGGCTCTAGTAACTATATCCCCAGTAACTGTGACTCTAGTAACTGTGACTCTAGTAACTGTGACCCATGTAACTATGGCTCTAGTAACTAGTACCCCAGGCTGGGTAAGATCATGATGAGTAAATACTCACACCTTTATTTATATCTAAACAACAAATCTCCTTGATAATGTTCTTCTCAGTGCTTCCAAACCACGTGGCCTTTCTGTACAATTGTCACGTGACAGTTATTTAGGACAAAGATATTAATTACAAATTAAAACTTGTAAAAATCAGATAATTTATGTAACACTACACGCTGTGTCGTTTTAAATGGTGTCTAGTTTTAAGATGCTGGCAAAGTTTCTTCGTCTCTTTTTTGCAGCACACAAACAAATTCTTATGTTACAAGAAATAAATTTTAATAATATTGATATTTTTTGTAATAAAATGCACTGAGTTTTGATAGGCTGATTTCATTGGTTACTTTGACTAGTGGCGTCACTAGGTCGGGTTCACCAGGTGGGGTAACTAAGCCCACCCTCTTCAATAACTTTGCATTTTGGTTTATTTGAACTTGATAAAACCTTTTTTCGACATAAAATGTTTACAATTTTTTGTTGTGGTGTAACCCCTTTAAATGGGGTCACCCGATGTGAACCGCGCCCCTCCCCGCCACCTTGTGACGCCACTGGCTGTAACCTTGGAATATGAAACGATTATTTAGACACAACTATCTCATTATTCATGAACTGTGCGCTAAGTTTATGTTTTAAGCAAGATGATTAAAGAAACGTAGTATTATTGTCTAGACCAGGGGTCTCCAAACTACGGCCCGCGGGCCGGTTGCGGCCCGCGACGTCCTCTCATCCGACCCGCAGAGATCTTTTTGTCCACGTAAAAAACGTTTGTTGGTGATGGCTGAGGAACTTTGCCCGGAAATATCAAAGACATGCCTGGAAGAAACTGGCCCCCGAACTAAAATTTGATAGTTAATGCGGCCCTCGGACTGAAAAGTTTGGAGACCCCTGGTTTAGACGTAGAGTTCAGCTCAATGCAGTCAAATGAAGAAATAAACCACGACAGACATAAACCAAATATTTCATTATAACTGATGCTAACTCTTTTGAGGACTAGAACTAGGGATAGGGTTAGGGCTAAGCTTATGTTTATGTATGACATATTGTCAACATCAAAGAGAAGCCGTGGTTAGATGGTAGAGCTTACGACCGCTAACCCGAAAGTCTCGAGTTCGGATCCGGGGCCCGAGTATGTTGGACTTCCCTGATGGGTACCTAAGTCACTTGAGGGAAACAAAGTCGGATGGGTATAGCACTGACCACTTTATCCTCATTAAAGCATATGAACTCTACTTCATCTACCCCATTTGACAAGCCACACACGGTAAATTTTGGCGATTGACAACATCGATACCACGAATGTGTACGGCATCGATACTACATACTACTAGTGAAGAAGTATCGTATTTATAATACACATTTTAATCAAAACACAACGATTATCTCTTTTCAGCGATACCTTAAGAGCCCCGCTCCCCCACCGCCCACAGCGACCTACCACCACCCTCCCCCCTGCTCCCCCCACCAGCTTCAGCACTGTGGCTCCACCAGCTACATCCTCACCACCGGCAGCCGCCACCGCAGCCCCGGCACTGCCCCACCCCCTGCTGCTGGAAGCTGCCACCGTGCCCGGAAATATTGCGCCCTTCACGGTCACGCCTTTCACGGTTACGCAGTGGGAGCTTAGGATGGAGCGCAAACGAAAGAAGAGCAGCGAATCCTTGGAGTGAGTACTTGTAGAGATTCCTTGTTGATTGAGCTGTTTTTTGCTGGTTTGTTTACACTTAATGGATACGCTTGTCCAAAATTTATCTGGCATCTCTTGTAACCTACTTATACTTGCAAGCGATCCGTCAGTGCTGTGTTTTCATCTCTGTTGTTCAACCGTCCCATTATTCCATAGTCTATTGTGCTCAAGTCTTCTTTGTCCCATAACCCATTGTCCTGTAGTGTTTTGTGTTGTAGTCGTTATTTGTGCAAGGTTCCCGTAGGCTGTTATAATGACCTCAGTTTTTTGCCCATATTTCCAGTTTATATATATATATATATATATATATATATATATATATATATATATATATATATATATATGCTCATCGTCATTTGTTTACATTTTCATATAAATTGCTTACACGGTCTCATGTCCCATATTCCTTCTGTCTCATGTCTCATTTTCCATGTCCTGCTGTCTCATGTCCCATAGCCACATTGACCATAGTAAGATGTCCCATGGTAGTATGTCCCATAGTAAGATGTCCCATAGCCCCATGTCCCATTGCCCCATGTCCCATTGCCCCATGTCCCATTGCCCCATGTCCCATAGCCCCGCGTCCCATTAATCCCTGTCCCATTACCAAACCATTCTCACACATATTTCTAACCCCAGGAAAGACGACGAGTCAATCTCTTGTGCTGACCTCAACGACAGCGATGGCCGACAACCCGGGTAAGCCCAGATACAAATCTTACACAACTTTTTAACAGTATCTTAAAGCCTATTTGCACGGTATGTGTACATCAGCCCATCCAACACTATAGGGCTGGTAAGTAGGTCACCAACCAGTTCTACGGCTCAATAAAACCTGCATGAGCCATAGAACTGGTTGGTGACCTACTTACCAGCCCTATTCCCAACAACACTGTGTACATGGATGTTAAAACTTGCCACTGCCGGCTTGTTGTGAGTCGAGTTGTGTTCCCATGAAGAATCCACCCACGCTGATGGGCGATTGGCGCGCTACTTAACGAGGAGAGTGAATGTTAATGAGATGAGTTCCGTTTTCAAATAACTAGATTTAAATTTCGAGGTGCATGAGCTTTTATGAGAAAAAATTGGGGAACGGTTCTATGGTTTGTGTCAGCTGAATACTCGAACCAACTTCAGGCGTTTCTATGACTGCAAAAACGTAACAGGTCCGAAAAGAGAATCCCTTTATTGGTTTTGCTAATCAAATACTTTGAAAAAAATAGTGTATGTATCTTTACATTTAAAGTTAAGTTTCATTTGTTTAAAGGTTAATTTCAGTTATATTTTTGCAAAGTTTAAAATGGTTTTGGTTCAGAATTATTTCCGTAAAACAGTGGATTTTAAAAATAGATTAAACTGCTTTAGTTACTTTTTTTGTCATGCAGGTTAAGTTAAATTTTTCATGGGTTAAATGCTACGTCTAAGTGTTTTATTGGTTAAAGGTTTAAATTAATGTTTGAATGTTGAAGGTTAAGTTTAAATGTTTCATTGGTTAAAGGACTAAGTGTAACTATTTCCTTGGTTAAAGGTTAAGTCCAATGAACAAACAAAACCACAGCGAGATAGAGAAGAGGAGACGGGACAAGATGAACACGTACATCACCGAGTTGTCCGCCCTGATTCCCATGTGCAGCGCCATGAACCGGAAGTTGGACAAACTCACGGTACTGCGCATGGCCGTGCAGCATATCAATTCCCTCAAAGGTAAAATAATATCTACACATTTTTTTTACAATTAAAAAAAATTGTTTTAATGTTTGACAATTAAAATAAACACGTCTCAGTTGGGGAAGAGAGTGGTCTAGCGGTAGAGAGCTGGACTGCTAACCCGTAAGTCTTGAGTTCGAATCCGGGTTCAAGTCAGTAGACCGTCCCTGAGTCCACCCAACTCTGATGGGTACCTAACTCACGTTAGGGAAAGTAAAGGCGGCTGGGCATAGTGCTGACCACACCATCTCTTCATATGCGGAGGTCACAGAAACAGGTGAACTCTACTTCACTTGTCCCATAGACCCTCAGGTTTGAAAAAGGAACTTTACGTTTTTTAATTGGGGAAGAGGCAATGGGAGTCCATTTATGATGTCCACGCAGAGGGGGACTGGGGGTCCGAAAATAATCGCATTTGGACGGGGGAGGAGGGAGGAAATGGGGTCCATTTGGACGCTCAATTTAACATCAGAGTACTACCATTTTTTAAAGCAAACGTAAAACTCGCATCCTAAGTGTTAAAAGTACAATGGAGGCGAGCGAGTTGACGAGATTCCTTCCATAATGTTGTTGACATGGAATAAAAACGTGCTTTTTAGATTTAGACCGTAAAAAAAAAAAAAAAAAATAAAAACTTAAGCCTAAAATTAATTTAGAAATTTTATATTTTTAGAATAAATGCTATAAAAGTTGCAAATCCAGAGAAGTTGAAAATAATTTGTTGAGTTTAAGGCCACATTTCTATTTATTTTCATCAAGCCTAAGTTATAACCGGATGTTTCACTTTCGTAAGACAAATATTGATTGGCTGTACAGTAACTAAGTGATAGATAACTATTTGTTTACAAAACTTTGCAGATCAAGTTTTTAAATAACAATGCAAATTTAAAACCCCATGACCTAGTTTTCTATTTTTAGCTTACAATGTGTACAATAAAATCTATGGCGGCCTATCCAATAGCAGGATGCCATTGTTTATGTCGCCATTACACGTGAAAACCAAATTGTTTTTGGTTTTTTTTTTTAAATTTTTATTTAGTTACCGAAAATATTATAAACATCAAATACATCCAATCTTTAGTAAAGTCCGAAAAAAACCAGACAGGCAGGAGTTTATAACCATATTAATTGTAACTACGCTGTGCATGATTTTTAAATGAATTTATACACCTCTCAAATACCTTTGAGACTTTTTTCGCTGGTGTCCATTAAGATGACAGTGCTCGTTTAAAAAAAAAAAACAACAATCTCGTGTAAATAAATCACGGTATTCATCCAAACTTTTTGTGGACGTCAATAGATGACCCCTGATATAACGATATTTCTACTAAACAACTATCATAGATACCAACACCAGTTATACTACATACAGACAAGAGCACCTGTTGTGTTACCTATAGGTACCAACACGTGTTGTATTAGCTATCGACACAACACTTGTTATACTGCCTATAGGTACAAACATCTGTTGTGTTACCGATAGATACCAAATCTTGTTATATCACCTATAGATACAACAACTGCAATATTACCTATAGGTACCACCATGCGTTGTGTTACCTATAGGTACCAACATCTGTTGTGTTACCGATAGATACCAACACTTGTTATATCACCTATAGATACCTACGCATGTTATATTGCCTTTAGGTACCAACGTCTGTTGAGTTACATATAGTTACTAACACACACCTGTTATATTACCTATATATATCAACACCTGTTATATCACCTGTAGATACCAACACCTGTATGTTACCTATTAAACTCACCACCTGTATGTTACCTTTATTCAGGTACCACCAAAGTATGTTCTGAAATGAGCGACAAACCATCTTTCATCTCAGAAGATGATCTCAAACAGCTCATCTTGAACGTGAGTACACCCCCTCCACCACTACCCCACACGCATATACAGACACACACACACACATATATATATATATATATATATATATATATATATATATATATATATATATATATATATATATATAGTCCTTATTTATTAGCCTCTTCCGCCCCTTAGATAAAATCCTGCCTACGCCCAAACTATTCTTGTGCTTGTTTCCAAAAGTAGTTCAGCAAATCCATTGTTTGCACATAAAGTTTATTTTTTTAAAAAAAACATTTTTTTAGTACCCACACGCTTTTGTTGTTCAACAAAGCTTCTCGGTACAGCGCAGATCTTTCCACCACACGATGGGAAGAACTAATGTATTCGATCAATCGTTTTTATCCTGTCTCGTAGCCTGTAATTATGTAGTACCGTAAGTAATACATTCCGTCCGAAATGCGATCCAGACAGATTTATATTCTCTCAAATTTTTGGAAGGGACGATAACTCGGCTTCTACGTGGTAGATAACTCTGCGGAATTTTTTTTTTTTGTCTTTAGTCAAATTTGTGACTTGATTTGAAAGGGGGGGGGTCAGAGTTTCTTTCAGGCATCTCTTCGGGGGGGCTTCGCCCCCCCGAAAAATTTTTACCGCCCCCCCGAACGAAATGAAATTTATATATTTTATATAGAAAATATATACTTTTAACAGTGTCCGCCCCCCCCCCCCCCGAAGAAAGTTTACCGCCCCCCCGAAGATTTCAAGTGCCCCCCCGGAGAAAAAAGTCTGGAAGAAACACTGGGGGGGGGGGGTGCCAGTGTTGGAGTATGAAAACTTCCCCTTAAAGTGTGTTGTTTTATTCTATCTATGTAACCATCTCAGTGCTCTGGTATTGGGAGGGGGTATCTTTTCTGGCATTAATGTTTTTGGTATAATGTTGTGAGCACATATCAAACTCTGAACGTACGTGCAGGGTATAGCACTGAACAAACTATCCTTTCATAAGCTCAGGTTGCAGAAACAGGTGAACTCTACTTCCTCTGACCCATGGATCCCTGGATCCGAAAGGGTAATTTTACTTTTTTTTAACGTACGTAGCTCTTTACGTTCGTATCTCGGGACATTCGTAAAGTGAGATCCGACTGTGTTAAAACTGTCCTTTCCCTCGCTTATAATAACAACCTTTTTCTGCATCATTATGTCCTAGAAAACTTTTAGAAATTAGGAATGTTCGTAACCAAAGACGGTCGTAGCCTGGGACATTCGTAAACTGAAACACCTTGTATTAAACATTTCCTTTCCCACATTTGTATTGACAATCTTTTTTTCATCATAATGCCCACGAAAACTATAAAAAATAAATAAATTAGGAACGTTCGTACTCATAGACGATCGTAATCCGGGACATTCGTAAACTGAAGCACCTTGTATTAAACCTTTCCTTTCCCACCCGTTTTTTTTTTTTTTAATTATTGTTACGCACTTAACTGTAAAGAATCCTGAACGTTCGTAATTCAGGACCGTCGAACGCCGAGACATTTGTAAACCGAGACCCGACTTATTAAACATTTCCTTTCTCTTGAATGTAACAAACACCTTTTGTTTTTATTGTGACGTCCTGCTTAAGTTTAAGGAAATTCGGAACGTACGTAATCCAGTACAGTCGTACCCTAGGGCATTAGTTAACATATGCCCGACCGCATCAAACCTCTCCTTTCCCACGCTTTGTAATTTACCCCGCTTTTTCCATAGTAACGTCCCTCGTAACATTTGCCTGGGTTAATTGGGGCGCGGGTTTTTATTTCAGTGAACTTTGACCTTTATTCGTTCCAATTTCCTTTTACACCGGGTAATTTGTATACTACAAGACCCAATGACCTTGACAGAAACCCGTTGTTTTGTTTTTGTTTTAATTTATGGGAAACAGACTAGACACGATGGCATACTTTATATCGCCAAGGGCGGAGTCTGGATATTCGCCCCCTCGTCTAAATACGCAGAACGGTCTAATTACTCTATACTAGCGCAAAATTGGTCTAATTAAAAGTAGCACAGTTATACTCATTATACAGGCGAGTTTGAAATTATGTTTTGTTCACGTTATATAAAAAAAATTCGGGCGGCCCACCCCCTCTTTTCACCCACCCCATCTATCTCCGCCTCTGAGCACCGTAACCTCTGAACTCTGTGTACTACAGGTTGCCGATGGTTTTCTATTTGTTGTTGGTTGTGATCGAGGCAGAATCTTGTACGTCTCAGAGTCGGTCAAAGACATCTTACAGTATTCACAGGTAATGTCTTACTTGTGCTGAGAAAATCATTAGAATGGGGTGGATAGAAATGGCGTGGATTCAGTGAGATGGATGGAGAATAGGATCTAATGAATGGTATTGACGGAGAATGGGGTGGATGGAGAATAGGTTCTAATAAATGGATGGAGAGTGGGATGGATGGAGAATGGGATCTAATGAATGGTATTGACGGAGAATGGGGTAGATGGAGAGTGGGGTGGATGGAGAATAGGATCTAATGAATTGGATTGACGGAAATTGGATTGAAGGAAATGGGATTGACGGATAAAGGGATTGACTGAGATTGGGATTGAAGGAAATGGTTTTGACGGAGAATGGGATTGACGGAGAAAGGGATTAACAGAGAATGGGATCTAAAGAATGGGATTGACGGAGAATGGAATTGACAGTGAAAGGGATTGACAGAGAATGGGATTTAAGGAAATGGGGTTGAAGGAAATGGTATTGACGGAGAAAAGGATTGACAGAATAGGATATACGGTTAATGGAATTGACGAAGAATGGGATTAACAGAAAGGAATGGACGGAGAATAGGATTGACAGTGAATGGAATCGAAAGAATGTGAGCGACAGACAGTATTGAAGGAGAATGGGATTGGCAGAGAAGTGGTTTGTCTGTGAAAGTGTCTGTCATGTTTGTGACTAGGTTAGAGGGTGAAGAAATGCTTGACCCCAGAACCCTTACAAAAGTGTGTCAATTAGATTATAAAATTATCCTTTTTTTGTAAAAAAAAAACCCAGTCTGACTTGATTGGCCAAAGCCTGTTTGACATTCTCCACCCACGTGACATCAGCAAGGTCAAGGAACAACTGTCGTCTTCAGACCTGACCCCAAGAGAGCGGCTCATCGATGCAAAAAGTGAGTTTTTGTTTTCATAATTATCCGGCATTTTTTTTTTTTACTGACCTCACATATAGTTCTTGCTTTTTATCCCCCTCCCCAATTATCCCGTTGGTTTTTTTTCAGTGTCCCCTTATCCCGTTATGGTTTTTTTATTTTCCCAAAATTCCGTTGGTTTTTATTGTCCCCTCACCCACATACAGTTCTTGCTTTTATCCCCCCCCCCTCCCCAATTATCCCGTTAGTTCTTTTTTCAGTGTCCCCTTATCCCGTTATGGGTTTTTTTTTTATTTTCCCAAAATTGCGTTGTTTTTTATTGTCCCCAATTGTTTTTATTTTATTTTCCCTAATTCCCGTTCATTTTCCCTGAATTCCTGTTTTTTCACCCACTATCCCATTTGTTTCTTTTTTCCTATCTCTAACATCCCGTTCGTGTTTTTTTTTCCACCAAATTTTAATATCCTTTCGTGTTAAAATCCCAAGGAACAACTTACTGTGCGACACCAAAATAAAAACTGTTATGGGTGATTGACCTATAAAAAGCGACCCCCCTCCCCCACTTTTTTAAAATGGGAGTGAGATGGGGCGCTTTTTTTGTCGAGGTGAATAACTTCATATAAATCGCGTCGGACGCTGGAATGTGTCGCTAAGCCCCTGCATTATCGGCATCCACACGTTACTGTTAACAAATGAACAAAGTGGGTCTTGTTTCACATACAATACATACAGTTATTATCAGCGGTCCTGCTTGACTGCAAGAACATAGAGGTAGATATAATGCCTGTACCTCGAAGTCAGTACACCCGGACTAAAAAAATTGTTGGAAATTTCTGCCGGGTATTTTTAAACATGGAAATGTTTAGTATGGCCCTCTTGAAGAAGTTTTAAGGCGACAATGCTTTTCGTAATGCGCATCGAATGATCGAGAATGTCTGTTGAAAACATCTTTTGTTATGCTAATTAGCTCAATGTGGAAATAGGATAATTATACTTAGAAATTAGTTTCGACCTTTCCATAACCATTCCCGATTGTCATTTTTTTTCAGATTTGAATTACCATTAATCTAAATAATCAACCACACGTGTTTTAAATATTTTCTCTACCCCCGTGCCTCACAATTTACTTTATTGTATGCCCTATTTCAAATACTTTAGTATACGTAATTTATTGAGAGACAGTTATAGCAAACGACTTTTTAACCCGGAAATCTCGTCCCTGAGTCCACCCAGCTCTGATGGGTACCTAACTCAGGTTATAAAAAACACAGGCGGCTAACAGTGTTTCATCCAGACTTTTTTCTCTGGGTGGTGGCACACTGGTAGAAGTATATGTTTTCTGTATAAATTCAATTTCGTTAAGGGATGGGGGACGGTAGAGATGCCTGGAAGAAACTCTGGCGGCTAAGCATAGTGCTGACCACACTATCCCTTCATATGTCTAGGTCACAGTAAGATGTGAACTACTTTTTCTGTCCCATTATCCACCACATTCGTATGGGCAACCTTAGTATGTTACCCTTTCTAAACTAAACTTTTGAAATTTGCATCATGTCTTACTGTTTTTGCGAGCGCGGATAAATCGTACTACAACAGGTTTCAATTCAAGGTTAGCGTCAAGGTTTAGGTTAGAACGAGCATTGATTTTCTTACAGCAAGTCGATACACTGATATAACAAATGATACGATACTGTAGGTCAGTGGCGTAGCGAGGTCGGGTGTCACCCGGTGCGGCACTTAATGGTGTCACCCCCCCCCCCCCCCCCAGAGGCGTAGCGACCCTTCCCGGGGACAAACTTTCAAATTTTTTTATTTGCACCCTCCCCTCAAACTTTCGATTTGCACCCCCCCCCCTCAAACTTTTGATTTGCACCCCCCCCCCCTCAATTTTTCTCTATCTATATTGCTATTTTTTGCCTTGGTGTCACCCCCCTAAATGGTGTCACCCGGTGCGATCCGCACCCCACGTCCCCCCCCCCTCGCTACGCCTCTGCTGTAGGAACAGCTAACCTAACTGTAAAGTTTCTTTAAGAACTTACGTTTTTTTTTTGTCCACTCCCTGCTCCCCATCATTCCCCCCCCCCCCCCCCCCCCCCCACTCGTCTTTAAGAACCCTCATCTCCACACAAAAAAAATCCCCACAGTAAGCTTATCACTGTTGAGAGGAATTATGCGCGACTCAGTTATAAGACTATCTTTCACCATCATTCAATATTCCTTCTCTTTTTATTCCCCTTCTCCTTCTGTTTCAATAACTCCATTACTTAGTGCACCGCGGGCGACAGCGCGCAGGTCGGGGGAAACCTGTTCTATTTTTAGCGCTGACAGTATCGTAAATTCAGCGCGGCGGTTTTTTTGATTTTTGATACCCGTTGACAGTGACGCGTTTGTTGTTCTTTTTCCTTCAAATCTTTGCCGTCAAATATCAAAATATTCGATCTTCAAAAGCGGCCCACGATTTAATTGTCTTATCCGTAATGTAGGCGGGCCAATCCAGGCTTTGAAGATAGCGTTCCTAAAAATAAAATAAGACGACGCAATTCAATCTGATTTCAACCCAACCCTATCGTTACAAACTACAAAGTTACATGTTACAAAATCCTATCAGATCCTCTCACCTAAGCCCTAAGCTAATGTTGTAATTATTTATAACTAAGCCTTCTTTAAAAAAAAATAATTAGCCTTTTTTTTGCTAGAAAACCCTAGATCTGTAATCTATATTCTAATTCTATAACACTCAAAATCGAAAGACCTCGTTGACTTTTTTCCAAATCTAGAATCTACATGTCGAGATTAGATCTAGATCTAGAATCTAGATCTAACTTAAGACAGTCTTAAAGAATTAAGAGCTGAGCACCTGTGCTTCCAGGTTGCAGTGTTTTCTTCCAGACCTTTTTCTCGGGGGGGGGGGGGGGGGGGGGGGGGGGGGGGCGGTCAACATTTTTCGGGGGGGGGGGGGGGCGGACACTAGTAAAAGTGTATGTTTACTATATAAATTCCATCTCGTTCGGGGGAGGCCCCCCCCCCCCCCCCCGAATAGGTGCCTGGAAGAAACTCTGCCAGGTTGGCCATTAGACGCACCTTTTTGAGTAAAGCATCTCTACCGCCATGTTGTTTGTCAGTTTAAGAGATACAAGAATAGAATCATTAAATTTATTCCCAGTGTACTATCCAGGGGGGTGGGGGGGGGGGGGGGGGAGACACTGGTAAAAGTATATATTTCCTATATAACTTTCTATTTCATTCAGGGTGGGGGGTAGATGCCTGGAAGAAACACTGATCTTGATTCTGTCCAATATAGCATTTATAGCAGTGGTCAAATTATTAAATTTTTGTTTATAATTAGTTATTATTAATGCTAAGGTCTCAAATACAAAACTAGGCCCTGAATCAATGCCTATCCTACCCTTTAATAAAAAATGGCATTGGGAACCCCTCACCATTATACACCCTATTTACACATCATTATTTTGCTCTGGCTTCTAGCAATGCTTCCAGTAAAAACTGAATACCCACAGAAACCCACTCATCTTTGCTCTGGGGCACGGAGATCATTTTTCTGTCACATGAAATCAGCTGGGAAAGTCTCCGCAGACCTAGCAGCCTCCATCAAAGTTAAAAAGGAATTAATGGAGACAACGTACCACCGCAAGAGGAAATCAGGTCAGTCGTGATTTTTATGTCATTTTTTTCCATCTAACTGCTCTATGTATTAAATAATTTAAAGGGCATTGATAAAAAATTTTTTTAAAGTAATAGCCTACAGTTGTTTTTCTAAAAATATTTTAGAAATATCTAGATTTTGCAATTAAAAAATTCGCATATCATTACTAATGAAAAAAAAAATCTATTTGGGAGATGTGGAAAAAATATTTTTTTCACAATTCAAGTTAGAATAATAATCATTAGTAAAAAGTAAAAGTTATATTACTATTGATTAGATAATACTATTGACTTTTATTAGGGAGCTTGTAGAGAGTCAACAGTATTAGAAACTGTAAGAAAATCACGGCGACCCACATTTTTGATCGCTTATAGTAGAGTGATCGCTTGCATTATTGTGATGTATAGCAATTATTTTCTACTTTTTAGTTCAATTAGAAAACGTGGGTTTTTTAAAACTTTTTTAATGATTATTATTTTCTACTTTTTAGTCTTTGTCTGTTTGTTTGCATTAAAATCTTGCTATCGATTTTATCTTTTCACTTTTTTTTTGGGTAAACGAAGACAATTCGTAAAAAGACAACTCGTAAAAAACACGTTGTGTGAATACGTTACTGACTAGAACACATAGATTTGAACCCGTGTCGAGTGGGATAGCAATCGTGTGCCCAACCACTCGACCATATCGTCTCCCCCATTCTGGCCACCATTTGTTACGGTTGTTTGTACACATACACCGCGTGAACACTACTCAGTAAGCAAAGAGGGAGAGTACCGAACCTTGTTTTCATCAAATTACAGTTACTGGGTTATGTCCCCTTTTCCCCACGTTTTTACTACAATTATATAGCGGTCTAAAATGCTCAATAAAATGTTTCCATGGATCAATTTAGTAATAATAACAATTGAATATTCTATGGTCATCAGAAACAAAGCTTCCCTGAAAATTTCAGCGCGCTAGCTAACTGGGAAGTGCCCGAAATATCGATCGCAAGATTTGATTGGAGAACCAAACAAACAGACGCGAAAGCAAGTTAAAGAAAACGTGGGAAAAAAGATTATACTCCCCATATGTTCTTTGCTATATTTTTGAAATTGACAATCACGTAGTGATGGCTAAAAGATGAGATGGACACTCCACTTATCTTCCATCCCCCTCTCCCCTGTGTTTTTATAAAAAAAATTCTAAAAAAAAATTCACTGGATTTGAACAACAAAATTAACAAAATTGAGTTTGTTCCTGCAGCGTGTAGGCCTCTCATCACAAACTTTGTTTATAAATATTTACATTTTATTTTACAGAGCGTAAAAATTTCAAAGTGATCCATTGCACTGGATACCTAAAATCCTGGAGCAAGGCCAAAATTGGCCTGGATGAGGATAGCGAGGCAGATAATGACTGTTCCATTCTGAACTGTTTAGTGGCCATTGGCCGAGAGCAGCCGACCTATAACCCCTACCTGGCGGAGGAGAGTAGTCACATAAAAGTCAGGTCCCTGGAGTATATGTCCAGGCATAATGTGGATGGGAAGTTTACATACGTTGATGAAAGGTGAGGATTAGATGTCTTACTAAAAACTTTTTTTTTCTGTTTTCAAGATGAATACTAATAAGCTAAACACCTGTTATAAAAGAACCTTTTATTTTTCAAGATGTAAGAAAAAAATTCAGTGTGAATAGAAAAATATAAGCTAAAATTACCCAAGTATAAATCATTATCACATAAAGTGTACAAAAAATATTGATAACATTAATTTATAAAGGGATTTAGCCTTTATTGGCCAGAAAAGGCATGAAAGTGCCCAGAGTGACTCATTTAGTGTGATTGAAAATACTATGTTGGTCTAAGTGTGATTGATAGTAAAATCTAATAGCAATCGATAGCATTGAAAATTCACTAGAGGTTTTGTTAGAAGTTATGGTTTTGATTAGGATTATACAGAAGCAGAGTTCTGAAAGTTTGGTTATTTTTTTTTTTATCCCTTGTTTAAAAAATAGTTTCTACATTGAAAGAGGATCTACAACATTTGCTCAAAATAAAAATTTTAAAATTAAAGTGCAGTAATCAAAGCTTGTGGTGCTTATTTCTGATGTTGTTTTGTTTTAGGGCAACTGTAATTCTTGGCTATCTGCCCCAAGAGTTACTAGGCACATCTGTTTATGAGTATTACCACCAAGATGATATTCCAACATTAGGTCAAGTTCATAGAAAAGGTAAGCATATTTGAATTTTATTGGTTCAATCTAAGGTCATTGCCATAGGGATGGTAGCATATTTAAATTCAATGGGTTCAGCATATTCAATATTAGGTCAAGGTCATTGGGATGGTAGCATATTTAAATTCAGTTAGTTCATATTAGGTTAAGTTAAAATAGAGAAGATTTTTCAATTGATTGATTTAATTATTTTTATATAAGTAAGGTTTATTGACAGGGTTAGCACAATTAAATTCACAGGGTTTTATATTCAGATGAAGTTAATATAAAAGATTAGCACATTTAAGTTTATAAACAATGAACAAATATCATAGCTAAATGTTACATGTGTCGAACAGATTAAATGAACTTTATGTTAATGTTTGGAAAAATTCTGGGCCTCCTTAAAAACCATATATTTCATTGTAAACAAAAAATAATTCACTTTGCAATAAAAAGTTGAAACTTAAAATATACAGGAATAAATTTCTCCCTTTTTTTGTGTGTGTGCAGTTTTATCTTCAAAAGAAAAGATAGAGACAGACGTTTATAGGTTCAAATTGAAAAACGGAAAATTTATTCATCTCAAGTCTCGGTGTTTTGGTTTCCGGAATCCATGGACAAAAGAAGTTGAATATATTGTATCCACAAACACAGTTGTACAGTAAGTTTATATTTTATTGATTGAAATGGATCATGACATTATTAACAGGCTAATTGATTTTATCATTATGATATAATTCTTCATAAAACAAAAAATGTAGCGCACATATCAGACAAGGGGGAGTATTCATTATTTTAATTGTTAGCGTTACACTAATTTAACAAATTAAATTATAGTTGATATGTTGAACATAAAAAACAGTTTCTAAAGCAAGCAGACTAATACAATAATTTTTACTGGGTTGCCCTAAGTCTTTGATGACCAGTCTCTTGTTACATTTTATCAACAACAAAGAATAAAAACAAAAACAAAAGAGTTCTCTCCTACACGGGGGATAATTTGTTTACAAAGCTATTTTTAACCTCTCCAGTATGCAGGAAGTTACCAGCTCAGGGCAGATGTTTGATGCAACACTTTCATTACCTGAAGAAAGCAATGAGTTTCAAGCGATGGATATGATGGGTAAGTTTCTATTTGTGGCCATGATGGATTGTAGGACCCTATATTTTAAAAACTACCCCTTAATATCATGAGATCACAGAAATAGGTGAACTCTACTTCACTTGCCCCATGGACCATCAGGTTTGTAAAGGAAACTGCTTTTATTATTACAATTTTAAAGAGTGAATTTTTCTTTGTATCCACTAGCTCTCAAATTATTTGTTTTTGTTTAGCTATTTTTCTGTTAATATTAAACAAAAGAATTGACAATAAACTTATTTTAAACTTCAATTTTTAAATAGCATTAGTGATATTGATTAATGTGGGATATTTTCAAAATTTAAACAACCACTCATGTTTACAAGGTGGTTAATTTATAATTCATCAATAGTTGCATTATACTTTTGTAATTATTAGCGTCTTATTGTAATCTGTGCAAGCCAAATTATTTGCATTCTAAAAGCTGTTTTCTTTTACTGGGCAAACTAAACTAAAAGCGGAAATATTTAATTATCAGCTGTCAGAGGTAATGAGCACTTAGTCCAAATGTCAGAGAGTAATCCAATAATATCTGAACTTGAAAAATGATTCACTGTCATGTGACTTGACCATAGACTAAGGGGAGGCAACTGTAATTATCATTGTTTATGTCTTCAGCCTTTTAAGTTTTTCTTTTTTTTGTTAATAGATCTAGAAAGATTTCTTAAGTCATGGGTTGTAGGCCTACAAAAAAAATTCACATTTACTTTGATTATTAATATTGCAGGCCTACTTTAAATCTAATTACATCTTTACTTATAATTTTCTTTACACCCTTTATAAATTTGAGTATATTTTTATATAGCATATTAGTACAGGGTATTGTTGATTTATTTCGAAAAGGATGTTTGTGGTTTTTTACAATATTGGTAGACTAAAATTATTTACACTCTTCAAAGGTACCACTTTTTACTAAAATATTTTTACTTGTCAATACTTTCACTTATATATATTTTGTTCTGATTTTCTTTAAATTAAAGTTTTATACTAGTATTTACATCTATAGAAATTGAACATAGCACAAGCATTTGTTACATATGGTTATGAGATGCATGCAATATTATAATATCTTGTACTATACATTTAAACTTGTTTAATTGTTAAAAAGCAATATTTCCTAGCCAAATTCCACTTGTTTATCATCACTGTTAAAATCAGTAGTTTCTTGATCAAGTTAAAATAACAGTCAACTTAGTTGGTCAAATATTAGTTCTATCTTTATCCATCTAATACCTGGTGTAGAAATTTCAGGATAATGTTATCAATGTTAAACTAATTTTTTCAAAGTATTTTTTTTAAATGTATAGATTTGGCCTGGTCTTGACATTTAGTCAAGAGTTATATCCCCTTACAGAGTGATTTCCCCTAGGGTTCTGTTTATTAATCTGCCTGTCCTTAGTAATGTCAGGTTGCTTGTAACAGTTCACTCCCTTGTAATGTGTTAGGTCAGCTACTTGTAATTATAATGCTGTGGTGTAATTACCTCTAAGGGTTATATTTTTGTTCTTTAGCTGTAGTGAAACTGAAAGAATTTTTGTGTGTTGGAAATATTGCTTACTGACTTTATATAGTTAGTTTTGAGTTATTTTTTTATGCATTATATTTTGTTTTTCAAAAAGCTATTTTCCCTCCTTAATAAATTCAATTTTAATTTAGTTCTATTCTTGTATCCTTTCAATATATCTTAATGAAAAACAAAAATTCTTGGGAGTTATTTTAATTAAAATGTTTGTAAAACTATAAAACTATAGAAACAAGTTCTAGCATATTCAATTATAATGACACTTCATAAAACTTCATCCATTGCTACATCTTTTTTATACTGCAAAACTTTTTTCTCACTCTTCATTTTCGGATGCTGTTTTTAATTAGACTAAAATAAATTTTCAAAAACCTTAATGAGGATTCCAAACAATAAATGTTTTTACACTTATATATATATATATATATATATATATATATATATATATATATATATATATATATATATATATATATATATATATATATATATATATATTTGTTAAGAGATTAAATAAAATATAAACAAGTTAAGTTACACATTTATTACTGGGGGCAAGTGGTCACCCTACTTATCTCTTTAGGTCTTGGCCCTTTCATTTCATAAAACTTTAAATATTGCATTATTTGTTTCATTTTTATTAGTTTAACAGTTAATAATTTAAAAATAAAAACTATAACCTGATATTGAATGTGAATTTTTATTTCAGCTGAGCTTGCGTCTAGCTCTAAATCAACCATACCAAATATCCCCGGCATATTGGGTGGGACTTTAGCAGGTGCTGGAAGGATAGGTAAACAGATTGCTGATGAGTGCATGGAACAGCTCAAGTGAGTAACACAACTGTCTAATCATTAGTTTGATACAGGGGTCGGCGTGGTCAAGTGGGTAAAGCTCATGGTTGCTAAACTGAAAAGTCTCGAGTTTGAACCCTCGGACAGATGAGGCTCGTTAGCTGGGGATAGCCACTCTAGGAGAGACAACTCCAAAATCAAACAACTGCTGCCTTGTAGTTTGTTCTTGGTTGAACAAAGGCTATAGAAGCAAATACAAAAAGAAATGCAGGCTGAAATTGGAGTCAATGGCCTCAATGGCGCATAATCAGTTGACATGTACACTTAATTGCGTTGGAGGGGATCCCTTCCAACACTATAATTAAGAACGAAGAAGAAGATTAGTTTGAATATTTAACCAGCTTAAAAAAAATATCCTGCTTAGTAAAATAAATAAAATTGACTTTTAGGTTAAAAATAAATTAAAATTTGACGAGTCTACATCTATTATAGTCATCAGGTATTTAGAGGAAAAAGCTGCAGAAGATTGTCCTGCTGATCAATCAGGCAGATAAAGTAGTGTAAATTTATCTGTGAGCCAGATACTCATCAGAGCTAAGTGGACTCAAGCATGTCCTACAAATTGGAGTCCTTAATCAAACTCGTAAATTTCAGGCCATGCACTGTATAGCCCAATATCAGTACCTTACTCATCATCATCTTTTCCCAATTTTGCCCAAGACACACAGGGCAGATAAAGTAGAGTTCATCTATTTCAACAACCTTGGCATACAGGAGGATAATGTGGTCAGCACTATGCCCAGGTTTCACTAACGTGAGCTGAGTGTACTCAGGATCGTTCTAGTGATTTGAATCCGAATTCAAACATTCCGGGTTTCGCAGTCTAGCTCTACTGTTACGCCACTCTGCCCCCATCAGCTCCCTATTGCTGAGGAATAACTGTAATAAAAAAATTTCCTTTTTTTGGTGTTGAATATTAAACACGTCTTTCTCTTCACCAGCAAAACTCCGTCAGCCCATGCAGACAGCAGTAACCTCACCCAAGCCAACAACCCACCCCATTTTTTACCCCCTATGGTCCCCAACAACTTCACACTCCGACCTCCTACCTCCGCGCCAACCAATACCAACTCTTCGCTGTCGTCCCAGTTTAACAGTAACATGAACAACATCATCAGTAACAATAACAACAATAACAACAACAATCACAGTACTCATATCCCTTCAGGTGAGCTGATTTAACCCTTTATGGTCTAGTTACTGTTCTGTGTGTCTAGTTTTCTTTCTGTTTACAATATATATAAATTCTTTATACAATAGACCTATATAGCATCTAGGGTATTTATTTATGCAGATTAATAGGGAAAAAGCTGCATAATATTATTTCAGGTGTGAGCCTATAATATTATCTAGTATAAAATACATTTTCTGTTAGAATTTCTATATGAGCAATTTTTCATTCACTTCAATGCCTGTATATTTAAAAGTTGTTTAAATAAAATGCTAGTACATTATTAGTTCAAAATAATAATAAAACAAAACAAATAAAACATCAGTGTTTAATGACATTTTTATTTATTAAAAACCTGATTTAACCCTTTATTGTCTAGAATACTTTTCAGTAATCGGAGTTTAGCTTTTAGTCTTGTTTTTTGTGACAATTGAAAATACATGTAATTTATTCATATATGCAAAACCTACATCATAAATTTAAGATATATTTATAATTTTATGTTCTGCATTAGAATTGCTTTTAGGAATTTTGTTTAAAAAGTAAATTTTTTAAAACGACATTGTCATTAAAATTTTGTATATTATTTTAGTTAAACATTTTAACAATTTAATAACATATCATATATAACGGAAAATTAAATTTACCCAAATAAATTTCACTTTATTTTTTTTAATAATAAACCACTTAGCAGCAAGTGATTTTTACCAACATGAAATACACATTATTTTTTTTTTAATTATGTACCACATACCAGTATCTGATTTTTATCCAAATAATTTGAGTATTTATTGTAATATTATACCACACCCTAGCATGTGATTTCATCCAATCAATTTCTCCCAAAGGCTCCTCCAACTGGTTTGACGTCAGCCATGTTGAAAGATCTGGCAATGGCCTCAGCCTCCTCCACACACACTCCCACTCGGACGACTCGTCCACCGAGGGCTCCCTCATTCAGAGCGTCATGCAAGAACAAACCATGGACAACATCCAGAACCCAGGGAACGACGTCAACGACGAGGCGGCGTTAGCGTTTTTAATGAGTTTGCTTGAAGCAGACGCAGGGCTGGGGGGCCCAGTGGACTTTAATGATCTCCCTTGGCCATTGTGATATTTGCCGTGCTGTTTTGTTATTTATTGTTGGTCTCATGGTGATACTGTTATATTTTCCTTACACTTCAAATGTATTTACATTCATGTGTTTTAATATATGTGAAGTACACATTTTGTACTTGAATCATTTATTTAAAAAGAAATAATTTAGTAAATCAGTACTGCAAGTGAGTGAACTACAGATAGTTCTGTTTTCAAATATAAGTTTAAACATAAAAAATTAGGTTATTTATATCAAATACCAGTATGCTTGTTAACATTAAGTGGGATTTGTTTGTGTCAGCAACCAAAAAAAAATTAATGTCCAGATTTAGCAAATTATTTACAGTTTTCAGTCTCAGATTTAGTTTCATGGTCTGTTAATGTACAATAATCTGTTTATCTTTTAAAAACAGCAATGTTGTATATCATGGTGCTTAATTTTTGGCTCTGTAATCTATATAAATCTGGAAAGAGACATTTTATAATGTTTGCATTCCAAAATATATGCTTTATTTTTGGTCTGTTACATTTCATCTTTAGCTTTTAACAAGAAATATTTATATCTTTTACTATTCTATCTGTGCTTGGAAAAAGAATTCACTTTACTATTTAAAAATAAATTCAAATATAGCTTTATTAGTATTTAGTTCTTAAAATGTGGTTGACTACTTGTAAATTAAATTACCAGATTTTTATATTATTTTTTACATAGATTAAAAATGGTATAAATAATGCTTTTTTTAATAGTTGCCCAACTAGAAAAATAAATATTTAAACATATTTAGTGCAACTTAAAGCCAACATTTAATATTGACAAAATACTTTAAAATGTTCTTAGTAACTTATCTTTGAATTGATTTTCAACCATGAGTAAATTTGTTATTTAGCTTACATTCCAACATACAGATAAAACACATTGTTCTAGCCTCGACCAAATTATTCCAATATTCTTCATTTTGAAAATTGTCTTCTCAGTAATGTATCAGAGTTTATGTGATAGGTATTTAAGATTCATAACACTGAAATGTTCAAAACTTGTGTAATAAGTTTACATTAATATATTTCTAAAAAATTGTGCCTTTTGTTAAAATTTTCAAAATATTTTAAAAAGTAGTAACATGTAATAACACGTTCTTTAGATAAATGAATGATTCCTCTTCTTTTATGTGTTTCACACCATGTGTATGATAAGCTATAAAACAAACCAATAATAACAAATTATTGTATTTATTCTAGTACTCTTTAAGAAAGATATAAACAATAAAGTATTTTATATATTTAAGAAATCATCATGTGCCTGAATTCAAAGTGCCACATAATTCTTTCATATACATACAAAAATCTGGTATTGTCAAGAAAATGCCTTGTAAAATAAATTTATCAGGTTTGGTGATTTTCCCATAGCCTACAGCTACTACTGTATTGTCATGTCTGTTATGGTAGATGTACAAATGAAGGATTTATAATCTTTCCTGATATATTTTTTTTTCTCTGTGAGTTTGTCTTAATTTAGCCTAATTTGTTTCTTTGTAGACTCATTCCCACCTCTGGCATAGGCATTGGCTAAGGCAGGGGGTTACAGTAAATCCCCACAATAGTTGCAGCGTTATGATTAGCTGCTGGCAAAGATATGCTTTTGTAGCGCTTAACTGCAAAGCTCTGAATGTCATAAAACCAAAATTTGTTTAAAATTTTATATATATGTGTAAAAACACACATATATGTATATATAATGTATGTGTATATATATATAATATATGTATATATATATATATAATATATGCATGTATATGTATATATATATATATATATATAAATATATATATATATATATATATATATATATATATATATATATATATATATAATATGAATCATCTTGTAATCCCTCTAAGCAAGATCCTGCCTATGCCACTGCATCCCATTGTTCAATGTAAAAAAAAATATTGTGTACTGATATTTAGTTTTAAAACTGAAGTTTTTTACCAGTATTTTATCACCTCACGTATTCATTAAAATCTGACTAATTTAAAAAAAAAAAATTTTTTCATTTAATAGAACAGTTTTATTTTTGACTTGTGATAAAACATTTGAGATTTTTATTTATCTAGTAGAAATATTTTAAATAAAATATTGTGATGAAACAGTGTATGCATATGTTGTATAAGCAGACTCTTAAGTGTTAGTGATCAAGCTTTTTCAGCGTAGGATACATCTGTCCCTTAGTTGAGTCTTTCAACTTGATTGGCCATCTTATAATCTGAATAAATTTATTTTTAAAAAAAAAGTGGCATATCCATGGGTGGGCTCTGAATTAGTTATCTCCACCTCCCCAGCCAAGCCCTGATATAAAACAAGTTAGCAGGTTTATGATGTTATTAAGCTTGTGAACTGCTTTAAAAACTGGTTATAAGAAAATTATGTGTGGTATGTCAAGGCTAGTACAGTTTTATTTCACATTAAAAGCTTATTTTCAGATACATTTTTGGTCTACATATTCACATACAGAAGTAGTTTCTTTCTTACTAAAGCCATGTTTTTTTTTGTTTTTTTTTAAATTCTGCTGTATTTAATTTATTATGTTCATTTTTAAGGCTGTAAATTATTATTTTATTTTTTTATTTGTTTTGCTTTGAAACTTTCTTTATTTCAACAAAATTTAATTTTTTCCTACTACTAAAAGACAGTTAACTATAACCCATAGGCTTATATTACAAGAGCCGCATTACTTATTAACATTTTAACCAGTACTAACAGGTAATTTTCTGGATTCTGAAATAGTTACAAAAGGATATATTGAGCCCATATTTCAGCTTACTTTCTAATTTTATAAGTCTCAGTTACAAATACCATTTGTTTTTTCTTAACTTATCTTAAAAATTATAGACAATCTATAAAAGATTCCTCTTTAGACCTAGCAATCCGTTGCACTGTTGAAGAAGAGTTCTCATGTTTCTTGACCTATGCCCAGACGCCTTTACTCTCCCTAACGTGAGTTAAGTACCCATCAGAGCTGGATGGACACAGGGATGTTCCACTGACTTGAACTCAGATTCAATCTCAAGATTTTCTGGTTAGCAATCTATCGCTCTACCGCTAGGACACACAATATCATCAACCTATAGGGCGTTACATATGTTACAATTATTTTTCTTTATAAAACAGCTTTACATTTTTCTTATTTTGAGTGTTAAAACATCAAAGCTGTTGAATTGATTTTATAATTATATTCCACCTACAATTATATTGATTTAGACACTCCTTGTATATGAAAAAGGTTCAATTTTTAGTAAAGTTTAAATGGTAAAAATCTAGGCCATGGAATAGAGCTCAGCATGCTTTTAAATGGCTGTGGTTAATGATTGGTTTGAAAGTAAATTGGTGCTGCAAGTCCATTGCTTGCTCACAAGCCAAGCTTATTCTTGCTGATTTTTCTCTAGGTTTTATTTTTAACAATTTGTTTGACGCTAGAAGAGAGAGGGAGGGATAAAAATAATTACAACATCAATACAGATTAGATAACCTTTAGAAAAGTAATGTCACAGCTCCTAGTTGAGATCAATCTTGTTATGTGGGAGGACTGTAAAGTAAACAGTTACTTGACTTCTTCTTCTTCTTCTTCTTCGTTCTTAATTTTTGAATATGGTGGAGGATTCAGACAACAAGACCAACTTCGTGGACAAACCGGACTGTGGTTTCCAGTTTGTCAGGTGTCCCATATAATTTTTCCCTGAGTGGGGTGGGCTGGGGCCAGTGTCTGCCTCTTGCCTGGCTATACAGAGTACAATCCTGGAGTACGTGTTCAGTGTTTTCCGGGGCCTTGCCACAAGGGCACATTTCGCTACACCCAACCTTCAGTTTTTTGTGCATGTGTTGATTTAGTCTGTTGTGGCCTGTTCTGAGTCGAAAGATTATGTATTGTTGTTTTCGTGTTAAATTGTAATAGCCGTCGTCTTTAATGTAGTGAGGGTGTGTGACAGACCACATTTGCGTTTGTTTGTTTTTAATTATTCTTTTTATTTCTTTTGGGTGTAGCGAAATTTCCGGTTGTGGTTTCTTTCCCCCAATTTTTGCCAGCTGGTCTGCGATCTCGTTTCCCTGGATCTGGCAGTGGCCCGGGATCCACTGTAGCACAATTCTGCTGCAGGTATATTTAAGCCTCTCTAGTGCTGTCATAAGTGTTTGAATATAGGACTCCGGATTTTGTAGGGATTGTAGGACTGATTTGGCATCTGTAAGGAATACAATCTGACTATTCGGTGATTCAGGGTGTTCTGACAGGAGGTTTGCTGCGTGTTCTAAAGCTTCTTTTAGTTACTTGACTGAAGGTCAAGGTTACCACTCATTCTTTTTATTTTATTTTGTAAAACATCTTTACATACTTAATTAGATTTTTTTTTAAAAATTATTTGGAAATGTATAAAATTAAAAGGCTTTAAGAATTTATTTAGATATTTTAAATTTTTTCACTACATCTTTAAATAATGCATATTACTGGTATAAATTAAGCAAACTTTATTTTTTGTTTGATAGAATTTAAAGCTTTTATAGAAGACCTCTCTTTTAAATAATCTTAACTTTGTAGTTTTGAGAACTTTAGTAAAACTATTGTTTTCATTTAGTGACATAAAAACTTAGAAATACTTGTAGAGGAAAATATTAACTTTGAAAATGCCAGGAACATTTTTTTTAACCTCCTTCCATGTACCAATAAATCAAACAAGTTGCTTGTTGTAGCATGCTCAAGAATTTAATTTTTTTTAATTCCCATTCTACATTCCTTTCAATTTTAATATTACTTTGTGAAATTACATAATAGGTCTGAGATTTTTTGCCATATTATTTTTATTCCTTTTATTTAAAAATTTATTTTTACTTTTGTTTGCTCATATCATTGATTTTTAAACTGTACATTTGGTTTGTTTAAACCTTTTTTTTTTCTAAATAATTTAAGTTAGTTTTTTAATTTTTTTTTTGAGTTTTACTTATTAGGGAAACTAAAATAAATATATTTACATACAACATATAGACTGACATATTTCATATCTGCTCAAACCATTAAGAGGAAAATATTTATGATCTCACTAAGCATGATACAATTTTTGTTAGTCTTAGCTATTCTACAAGTCCCTTCAGCTGTTTGATGGTATGTTTTTTATATACTGAATGCCTTGGCTTTCTATTCGTAAAAAATACATTTATTTATATATTTATATGTGGTTGCTCATTTTTGTAATAGCTCACATTCCTGATTGCCTTTTTGATTGTGCATGTTATTTCGTCTTGTCTTGTTTTTAATTGGCTTTTTTAAAGTAATTTTAATTTAGTTGGTTGTCTTCCTTGCTTGTAAGATTTTTTTAACGTATGGGAAAGAAAGTAGTATTCTTATTAGAATCAAGAAAGAAAACAACACTTTAAAAAAAAACTAAAACAAATCAAGAAAGAAAACAACACTTTTTCAAAACTAAAACGAATAAATGAAAACTTCTTACACTTGCCATACATTTTTTTTTAAATGTTATATTTGTTTGAAGATGTAGATACATAATTATAAAGCTTCTATTTTCAATTATTTTTTTTAATTGTTATATTCCATTTATAAAATTTCATTTTATTTTCACATTTTTACTTAAAGGTAAATCAGGCTCATAGTTTAATTTAATGGTTTTTTATTTGGAGGAGGAGGGAAGACAATCACAATTATAACTACATACCAACAGGGTTTTACATGTATAAATAACATCTATATAATGTTTATAGACAGGGTTTACAGGAAAGCTGCTAAGATACTTAGCCATCCCAAGTATTTTTCAGTTTTTTTTTTTTTACATTCTATTACCAAAAAAAATTTTTAATTTTCATAACTTAATCTTTTCTGTGGACTTTTTCATAAATTCTAGATTAATCCAACAACTGGAATAACTATTTAGTGCTTACATTATTTTAAAAAAAATATTAAATACCACACAAATTTATCAATATAAAAATGTTTTTGTTTTCATAAAAAAGCAATATTTACAGTGTCAAAATGTAAATTAGCTGGTATAGGAATCCTCTGGGTTCACAAAAGGTATTGTGTTGATGTACGCATATATTTTCTTTAGGATTTCTCATTTATTTAATGTTGGTTGTTTTTGTATTAAATTCGTGTCAAATTTTATAACAAATGCCAAACTGTTTTGTTAGCAATATCTTCATTTTTAATTGGTCTTGCTTTTTTGCAATGTATTCAAAAAAAAAAAAATCTCATACTTAAAAAATTTCATGTAGAAATGCATGTGTCTTTACAGTGAATAGTGTGCCAAATTGTGTACAAATTGTATTTTGTTTTCTGTGGTGAATTGTGTGCCAAATTTTGTAAAAATGCATGCGTCTTTACAAGGGGGACTACTACACTATTTGTTTTTCTATTTTATCATTTACACAAATTCTGAATTTTTATCCCTGTTGGTTGGTTTAGTTTTTTTTCAATCCTTGTGATTCTTGCACATCTTTTAGTTTCCTCAGCACTTTATACTAGCTTTGAATCTTTGATAAGTTCTCTATTAACAATTAGAGGTTTTCTTTTATATTTCTGTTTACAAATTGTTTTACTCAAGTATTTTTTATTTAAATAAATGTTAGGTTCTGTTATGTTCTTTTTATAATGGAATAAGGTAAATTTATTGGAAAAGCAGGATAGTCTACACTACATGACAAGTGAATTAATGTTTCTATTTTTTTCACATTTTTAGCTTGTGTGTGAATACATTTTAAATGCTGTCAGTGACATATTTTAAGAAAAAAATTCACCAAAACAGTCTTCTGGCTTGCTTGTTTACTTCTTGTTGTTTAAACTGCTGTATAAATATCATGACGTCTTTTCTCCTGACATACATACATAATTCATATAACAATTTCTCCCCCATCAATCAGTCTTGCCAACCCACATCAAAATGTTCACATGTCCACATATTTTAAATAATATTTCCAGTGCCAATTTGTTTTTGTCCAATTGTGTTATAAAATCAATGTGATTATAGATTTTCATAATTTGTTCAGTTCATGCATAAAAAATGTTAATTTTCAAAGGTTAATTTATTCCTTTTTTTTGTATTATTTCTTTTTATAATTAAAAAAGAAAGACATTTTAACTTACTACGTTGTTTGAAGGCTTGTTGTGTGTTGATTTTTACCGATGCTGATAATTAAGAATTTTGTACATTGAGTTTATTTAACATGAGGGAAACTGAGGGTGTACATTGATGAAAAAAAAACAATCGAAACATAATTAATGTAAATAAAAAATTTATAATGAAACAATCACTTCTGTATTTTGCTGATTATTCTATAATTACTTATTAGATTTATTTATAAAATGTAAATAAATAAGATCTATATCTGTATTATGCATGTACTTTGCATATTATTTTTTGCCCAACACTAATTTAGTGTGACAACAATATGAGAAAAAAAAGTTAAAACTGGCATTTAAAAAAGTTGCAAAAACTTGCTTAAGTTAAGATACTTTTTAAAAAAAAAAGTTGCTAATCAATTTTTGTGCCCTTTGTTACCGATATACTTTTAACCATTGAAGCAAGTCTAAATAAGGCTAACTAAAAATATAAAACACTGTTCACATTAAAAACTTGGAACGAATCAGGCTTTAATACAAAACAAAAACAGGCATTCTTTGCTTAAGCTGTGTGTTTAATTAATTATCTGATCATTTAAAACACGACAGAATTTGTTTTTTAAATGCAGCACAAAACATGTCAATTAATTCACAGCCACAATACCCTATAATTTAACAAAATTTATGCTCCTAAAATCTAGTTTAAAAAAAGTTATACACATAAATTTTAGACTAGGATTTAAAGAAATAATTAAAACTCCCTTGGCATGAAAACAATAAATAAATGCATGTACATTAAGCAACCTAAGATAACTAACTGCTCCAACATTTGTTAACATTTAAAAGTAGTACAAAACTTTGAATAGCTAAAAGCATAAAACGATGAACTGCTTTTAAAATCTAGAGCAAAAATAATTTCTGAAGATAATCATAATATAAATACTTGCAACATAAAACTGCAAATTTTAAAATGCTTTTTCAAAACCAAATATTGTTTCAACAATGAGAAAAATACTGCATTTTTTAAAATGACCAATGTTTAAAGTGACTAAATTATAAGAAAATGATGGAAAAATTTGTAGTATATACTTGTATTAATTTCAAATGTTAAGAGATTCGTATTATGAAAACTTGAAGAAGTTTAATAAACACTGTATAGAAACATGACTAGAATAATGAAATTATTTAAATTATATCAAGAATAATAAGCCAAATAGGTATATATCATTTTATGAAATCATTATGATTGTGAATTTCTTTTAAATTTTTACAAGAGTTAATACAATGGAACAATATTTTTAAAAATTGTATCCTTTTTCTTAATTTAATTTAAAATCAACAAAATGGTTTTAAAAAATAAATCATTGTTTAAATTGTATTTTTTTACAAAATATTTCATAAATAAATTAAAATTAAATTGGTTAATTAAAAAACTACACTTTATAAATAAAAAACTGCAACACAATATACATGCACATTAAATTAATAAAAAATAAAATAAAACAAGGATGGGACAGGATAGGAAGATTAAAACAGATTGAGAAAACAGTTCAGGGGAGAAAATACCAATAGCTTGGCTAATTAACAATAGACAGATGCCCTTAACCAAACATTACACCATTACAAAGCACAATACTGAACTAGTTAATTCTTCAGACAAACTTAACTTCATATAAGCTGTTGACTTAGGCTTTAAAACTCTGGTTTTTCATTTGGTTATATTATTTAGTAGACATTTATATTATGTAAGGGAAATTTATTTCTTTAAAAAAAAATTTGATTCAATTTTTACTTTAACCCTATTAGTATTAGGCCCAATGCAAAAAAAATCTATTTATATCAATCACAATTTTACACATCACAAATAGCTGGGTGTGCAACTTTATGCAAATAACTAAAGCTTCAAAATAATAAATCACAAACTTAATAAAATGCACAACCACAAGTTGCTAGTGCAAGGTGTCACAGTTGACAAAAATGTTTATCATTAAAACAATGAGATAAACTGCTATGTAAACAGCATAAAGTTTGCAGATCTGGTGCACACAACAGTATTGCACACAAAAAATAAAGAATGTTTCCACAATAGATAGAGGAATGATGGGTAAGGAATGCATAAACATAATCTAAACATTAATATGACTAGTTATTTTTTTTTAAAATTAAAGCTTATGGATGAAGTCCATATATTCCCTAGCTTAAGTTTCACTGATTTTAATTCATTTCTTTTTTTGTCAACACTTACACAAATATTACTTTATCTAAGACCATTCTACTAGATCTAGATCTACTACTTTTAATTTCCTATAGTAATAATAACAAATGGAATGTGATACAATTTTTACACATTTTTTAAATGTATTAATCAACCAAAAAAGGTAACTAATCCCACATAATATAGATCTAAATTAAGAAAAAAATTATTTGACTTATTTTAACCTTTTCACCCATGGAAATGTGTACATTCCAATAATACCATGTAATAAAAAAATTTTTTGCTATAGTGAAATTAAGTTTAGTTTTTTTAAGTTTTTAAATTGTCCAATCAAATTATGCCTTTCATGATATTGAGAGATACAAAACAAGGAGTAAAATCTCCAGTCAACAAGTGGTGAGTAAATAAGGGAGGTAATCAGAATAAAAATTATTATGGCAGTCTTGAAATTTGTAAATAATATAAGTGTCACAGATGTGGTTATGGAATAATTATTAAAACCAACATTACCAAGTAAATAAAAATGTTGAAAAGACCAGCACCAAAAAAAATTTGAAGTAAAATGAAAGAAAACAAATTAAGTAGTCAGATTACATTAATATTGACATGTGAACGTTTTTAAAAAAACTTGCAGATGAACTTTTATCTTAATAAAGTCTCAAGAATCAGTGAAACATAATTTGTTTTTTCAAAACTATGAACACTTCTATAATTTGAAACATATTTAAATAAAATGCTCTTTTAACAAAAATGGAAACAGAAAGGTTTTGAACATTTCTTGAACATCAAAAAATATTTTTGCCTTAATGAAACCAAATGTTATACAGTATATAAAAATATTCTATGAATTTTTAACCCTATCAAAACTATTGATGAACTAATGATTAGGACATAATTCTGAAAGTAGCAGTTATGTATTTTCTTTTACTGTAATACTGATAAAATACTGGAATGAAAAATAAAATACTTACAAATAAGAAATCTTAAAAACTGTAAACAGTTAAATTAAAGCTTAAAAAATGTTTCTCCCTTTTAAATACAAGTTTTAGGATTAATTACACATGTCAGCAAAAGGTGATACTGTGTAAGCCATCTGAATATTGTGGTTTTGTAAATATTGGCAAAAAGACTTTCATTCTACAAAAAAAAAATGGAATTTCCAATAGTTACAAAAGATAGTATTTCTTTTGTTTATTGTAAGCAGTTTTTGAATTTAACTTTAAAGGAGAAAATATTTTTATAACAAAAATTATATAATCCAAATATACTTTTTCTTTAAGTAATATTTTGAATACAATTTTAGTTACACATTTTGATAAAAAAAAATAACATTGCAAATTAATAATATTTTAGCACTTTTAAAAATAATGGCACAACATTCTATACTCAAAGAAGGTTGTAAAATAACTTTGGTTAAAACTAGAAAATAAATCTATTATCACAATTATTGCACATCTTCACAGAAATTCACTACAAAAATTATGATTTTCTTTTCTAATACAGCAGGGAGTGAGAAAAAAAAAAAGTAAAATCATAAATGGGAGATAATAAGTAAATAAATGCTTAAATTTGTTACGGTTCTTTAAATGCCAGGTTTTACTATGTGTATAACTATTTTCACACCCTTTATCTTAAAAGAATTTGAGACAGAATGATTGGTTTTTAAGAAATTGGGCATTAGCTGTTAATTTCAAAATACCCGAGAGACTTAAAATTTTTAGACCACAGGATCAAAAGGCATCTTTGATGTTGCTGAATGTTCTGACAGCAAGGTCTACTGGCAAATTGAAATTAATGACCAACAAACGTTCCAACGATCGTAAAGCATCTTCAAAACCTGTCAATAGGAAACACATTGTAAACCATATTTAAACCTGTCAAAAGGAAACATATTGTAAATCATATTTAAACCTACTAAAGTAGTTTTACTGAGGTACAGACACATGTGCAAATATTTCAAGATGTTGGTAGGCCAGATAGCAGAAGGTATTATTTAGTTCATGTTAGCTTAGTGGGGGGGGGGGGGGGGGTCCGAAAAAAAACTGATTTTTGTGTCCAAAATCCCAAAAAAATTGTGGACGTCATAAATGGATGACCCCTAATCTCTTTGAAGGTATTTATTTAGCTCATGTTAGCTAAATATAAAGAAATATATCAATTTGTTGGAAGGTATTATTTAGTTCATGATAGCTTATAAAGAAATAAGTTACTCTTAAAATGTATTTTTTTATTTAGTCCATGTCAGTTTAATATAAAGAATAAAGTCAATCTATTGGAAGATATTTATTAGTTCATGTTATATTAAAAGAAATAAGTCAATCTATTGGAAGGTATTATTTAGCTCATGTTAGATTAAAAGAAATAAGTTAATCTATTGGAAGATATTATTTGGTTCATGATTCGTAAATATAAAGAAAAAACTGAACCTTTTGGAAGATATTTATTTCATATTAGCTAAATATAGAAAAGTAAGGTAACCTTATGGTTATTATTTAGTTCATGCTAGTTAAATAAATAAGTTAACCTATTAAGATCATGTCAAAAGTTTAGAATACTTTTATAAAAACACCTTTTCTTCCAACATTTATTCTTTTTCCTGAATCTACTTTGAGTTTTAAATCAAATAAAAAACTATCGTAGAATATTCAAAGAGCCTAGTATTAAGAAAAACAACTAGCTATCTGCTTACAAACTCAATGCAACAGACCTGTTCGAGCAACATAACTCCAGTCCTGGTAATACATGTCAATGAGGGTCTGTGTCCTGAAGAGTAGGCGCAGCCAAGTCACTAGTTTACGTTCACTACAAGTAAAGCATAGTAAGTTAGACACAGCATAGTAAGGCAAATTTATGAAATTTTTTCTTCTTGAATAAACAGCAGTATAACTATGTACATACTAAAAGTTCAATACAAGTAAAACATAGCAAGTTAGACACAGTATAGTAAGGCAAATTTATTAGATTTTTTTCTTGAATAAAATTGAAGTATAGCTTTGTAAGTACTAAAAATAAAAATACCAAAAACAAATCTTGTAAATTTTAAATAAGAAAGTTTTCTACTAAAACTAGACCAGTTATTTATTCTTTCTATAATAAGAAAACATGTTGAAAAGTAGTGATATAAACATTTTGATCATGCATGCCAGCCTTTTGGTTACAAAAAGTAAAGAAAAAAAAAGAACAGGGAATAGGAACATAAGAATGCCGTTTATAAACATAGTTCTTAACCCTTTAACCTCCAAATGTCACTCTATGCCCCACACAACATCCAAGTAATAATAATACAAGAAAAAGTCTAAATCTATTATATGATACAAGCTAATCTATAAATTGGATTATGAATAAGGTGTTGGATCAAGTTAAGATGTGATATGGTTAGGTTTAGTCTAGGCATAGGTAGAAAATGTAGGATATAAAGAAACAAAATAAAAATAATTTCACAATAGTAGTTTATTCTTATTATTCATTTAAGACATGGCAGGTCAAGGATGTCAACATTTCACTTACTTGAGAGCCATACTTATAAAAGCCTTGAGGTGGGCGTCCTCGCTGCGCTTGAGGGGTGTGTGAGAGTTGATGACTGTATCAATAGCCCCTAGAAAAGTCTGCTTGGCTGTGATGGGTTTACCCCCCACCATATCAAGGTGAAACGACTGGGACAATTTCCTGGCTGGAGACTCATTATATTCCCTGCCATTCTGTAACACATAATAAAAATATTACAATATATTCCCAGCCATTCTAAAACACAATAAAAATATTACAATATATTCCCTGCCATTCTAAAACACAATAAAAATATTACAATATATTCCCTGCCATTCTAAAACACAACAAAAATATTACGTTATATTCCTTGCCATACTAAAACACATAATTAAAATATTACGTTATATTCCCTACCATTATAAAACACACATTACAAAAATTATGATATTGAATATTTTTTGCAATGAAATCTTGAATATTGAAAAAGATTTTTGGTTATTCAAGCTTCATTCAATTTCAACATTTGCTATTTTGGCTTCATTTCTATACAGGAGAAAATGTCCCTACTCACATCTTTAACAGTAAAGTTTCCCTACCTTGATCTATAGCAGTGAAGTTTCCATATATTCATCTATAGAGCAGTAAAGTTTCCCTATCTTCATTTATATTGCAGTAAAGTTGCCCTGCTTTTACCTCTAATAGTAAGGTATCCCTACCTTCATGTGGAGCACAGTAAAATCTCCTTACCTTAATCTCTAAGAGTAAAGTTTCCCTACCTTCATCTCAAATAGTAAAGTTTCCCTACCTTCATCTCGTAATACTTGAGAAACAAATCCCAGGCATGCAACATCCGGGTCATCTGTGCTGACCGGCTGGGAAAGCAGCCAAACGGCACTAGGCTGGTGGACTGGCCCACTTCCATCAGGCCATGCTGCATCAGGTCGCGCAGGGCCATGGCCAGGTCCTTGCGAACACACTGGGTCAGTGCAGGACTGGACTGGTTGGTATTCTGGGAAGTCAAGGGAAACAACTGATTGTCCAGAAATTACTAATTCAATAGCATGTATTATGTATGGTTAGAAATTTGGGTTAGATAGGACTTGGGATAGGGTTAGTATTAACATTAGCAAGTCTTATGTGTACTTAGTTTACTAACAGTAGTCTAATACAGTTTTATTAAGAAGATTGTGCCATTATTTGACAGTGGTTTAACAAATACACTTAATTTCTATTTGATCACAAACTGACCTCATCTGAATCAGAAGAGTAGTCCTCACTGTCTGTGTCCTGTTTGGCTTCCTGTTTTTGTTTCTCTGCCAGATCAATACATTTTGTTATGGCCATTTCCAGTTTGGCTCGCAGGTCCCTTGTAACAGTAAATTTAAAAAATAAAATTAGAACTTTAAAACAACTACATAACAAAATAATAGCAAAAACAGTCACATGAAGACCACATAGGAAAAACCCTACTATGCATATCCATCACATCTTTGATATAAAAGCGCAAAACCATCTCGATCTCCAAAACATTTAGGATTTTAAAATCAACACACAATGGAAATAACAAGGAATCTCAAACACCAAAAATGTCATGTTTCTCAAAAGTCGAAAAGTGTGACAACCGTGGTTTATGCCCTGTGGTCTTAATATATTTTCTACAGTTTACAATTAGATTTATCCTGTATATATAATTAATTAAATTTTGCACCATGCAACAAAACTTTGTTGGAATTATGATTTATTATTTTTACAATACGACTGCGCAACTTTACAACTGCACAGCCTTGCAGCATAGAGGGGAACATTGACCTACCCCCAATGATTTCCTTTAGCAGTTTTTTTCAGCAGGTTTCTCTTAAAGTCCCTGCTGCCACAGCCCAGCTGACTTATGATGTAGATTTGTAAGACAGTCAGGGCCTTCTTCATGATAGTGTTGGCTGATTCATTTAAATGCTGGAAAGTTTACATTTTTCATCAATACAATTTTAAAAATCTCAAATTTTGGTAACCTAATTTTAGTTTTATTGATATCATTTAAATACTGGAAAGTTTCTATTTTTATCAATATGGTTTCAAGAATCTCAATTGGCATACACAATATTTAACTTAATTTTAGTTTTATTCATAACTTATAATCAGTTTTTTTATATTTTTTAAAAATAAATTAATTATAAGTTATGAATAAAACTAAAATTAAGTTAAAAATTTAAAAAAGTTTTAAATAAAAGATAATTGACTTATTTGGTAGCTAATTCTGACTTGAAAATAATGTTTTTCATTTTGTTAATTTAAAAACAAGTGTCAGGCCTAAGTGGGGAACTGTGCCTTTAAAACCATTATTTTAGTATTATAATTTTTTTCCTCATTTGTAAATGAACAAAAGGGAACTAACTACCTTTGAATGTTCATGATCTTCTTTTTTGTCCCTACCACTAAAGCTGAAATGATTTTTTTGTTTCGAGTGACTAGAAGAACCAATGCTCTTCTGATCACCATGGCGATGGTGTCCACTTGCTGGAGTCTAAAAATAGAGAGAAAAATGTTTTTTATTAAATTATAAGTAAGTGTTCAATGCTTTTAACTTATCATATTGAACTCTTGAATTAGATGGAATATTAAGTTGAGAATTACCTGCCCATCTTCATGAACAGGACATAAACATCTGTCTTTTCCTAAAGGACCTGGACTAGTTGCTTCCCCTATGAACACATTTTTAAAACAATCTAAATTAATATTGAATCTATTAAGAAATCGATTACAGAGCAAATAAGAAAACTTGGAAAAAAATATTTTGAAAATAAAATACATAATATATGTATTTATTGCTATTGTAAAACAATATTATATTGCCACACAATGAAGTCTTATTATACATTGTAGTTAAATAGAGTTCTAACTGATACTTTTTCAATTTTTAAACACTATTTCAATCTGAAATTTGCCAGTAAAACAATTTCGACACCTACCTTGTAAAAACTGTATAAACCTTTCTAGATCAACTATTTGGGTCTTCAACTGTTCCACAAGTTTCTCTTTAACTTTGGCGGGGTTCACTATTTGACCAACAGCATGGTCCACAACCTGACAAAGCTCTTCAGTGCTGAAAGGTAACATTTGTGTTAATTATATGGTAGTGACACAATTACATAGATGCAACTCTTCAGTGCTGAAAGTTAACATTTGTGTTAATAATATGGTAGTGACACAATTACATAGATGGAACTCTTCAGTGCTGAAATAAACACTAGTTTATAAAAAATTAACTACACTTAAGTTTATAAAACAGCATACAATAATACATTTATTTTAACAGCTGTAATGATTCACAAGAAGCTACAAATAATCAATCTTTGTATAAAAATGCTGAGATAACAAGAAAGGATCTACTTAATTATACCTCCCCAATGAGTCATGCATGCCAGTAAGGAAATAGTCACATTATAGTAATAGGGATAGACCTAAAGTTTGGCTTTATGATAGGGAGAGGTGGAAGGTAACTTTAAAAGGGTTTTGCTATTAGGGTTTGGGTTAAGGACAGTGCCAGGTCTGGGCTCAGCAGTAGAATCAGGTCCAATTTTAGGGTAATACAGACAAGAGTACATATAAACATAGTCTTAAGCTTTGAGAAACTGCATCAACAAGAAAGAAGATTTTTATAAATGAGACTGAAGTAATCTTATTTTTGAAAGTTGTAAATACCTCAGACTGTCTAAATTCTCTAAGTTGAGATCCAACTTGTGTTTCAGCTCCTCTAATACAACTTTCTGTTTCTCCATCACTTTACTTGTTGGCAAGCTGTCGGCATCTCCAGTCTTTGTAGACAAAATATGAAATGAAGATAATATGAGAATTGGACCAACCACTTGTTTGTAAAATAAACCACTTCATATTACCAGAACAACCAATCATCTTTTACTACAAGAAATGATCAACCACATATCCCTAGAATGACCCACCACACAATCACCTCGAAGAACCCACAACACCCCACCTAGAGAAAACCCAACAGACACCCTGTAGAAGAACCCACCAGCTAGCCCAACCCACCAGACACCACCTAGAAGAACCCACCAGACACCAGTTAGCACAACCCACCATCCAGCCCAACCCACCTCGTAAGCATAAGTCTCCAGGTCCTCCAGCTGTGACTTGAGCTGTTGTATCAGCTGTCTTTGTTTCTCTCTTTGTTCACCAATCTTCATCTCATGTTCCCTCTCACTCTAAACACAATTTTAAACACAAACATTAAAAAAACAAACATGGACAACTAATGTTTGTTACAAAAAAAAAAATTAAATAGTAATAAGTATTTTATTAGTAATCTGTAATATAATTATTATGGGCTGGCGTGGTCAAATGGTAGAGAGCACAACTGCTAGCCAAAAAGCTTCAAGTATGAATCCTGTGCTCACAAAGACATTGAGTCCACCCAGGTTTGATAAATAGCTGACTGCCAGACTGGCATAAGAGAAAATGAAGGCGGCTGGGCATAGAAGTGACCACAATATCCTTACAAAAGTCAAGGTCACAGAAGCAAGAAGCACATGAACTCTTCTTTTGTTATATAGACCGCCAGGTCAGAAAGTAACAATTTAGGGTGAAGTTAATTATTGTTGTTGGTACTACTACTCTATCACCATTGTAGAATTAACTGTCATGAGATTCTAATTTCATGGGAGAATCTCTGCAGATACTCAAAGAAACACATTCAACAATTGTGTAATGACTGTATCCCAACTATGTAAAATTGGGAAGTTACAGCTAGAAGCGATAGTAACAAATATTTGCAGATGACCACAAGAAACTTTAAAACAAGATGCAATATGAAAACCTACCACTTCCTCTAGAATCTGTGCATCTTGAACCTTGCAGCCTCTAACATCAGGGATTCCTTTAAAAGCGAACTCTTCTAGTTCTTTTAGGAGAGTCTGTTTTTTTTTCATTATGAAATTTAAAGCAATAATTTATTAATTATTAATCAATAATTTAATAAATTACTGAACATAATTTTTTAATTTTTTAGAAAAAATAACTGTAGGACAAATTTGGTTGTACTGAGCTTAGGGTTAGGGTTAACAATAGGGTAGTGATAATAGCAATGCAATGGAATCAAACACATACTACTGATAGTTTAACAAATTAAAAAAAATTGTATTCAATAAACTTGTAAAACAATACACTAAGGATGAATGAAATAGGAACATCTTTATGCTGTGGGTATTCAATTAATTCATAAAAACAATAAACACTAAAGATAAAATGAAATAGGAACCTCTTTGTCCTCTGCTTCAGCACTGACAATTTGCTTGAGACGAAACTGCACTTGAGCAAAATGTGTTGTAAGGGCCAGCAGAGATGAGTTCAGCTGTTCTTGCTCTTCTTCTAGACGTCTAAGCTCTTCGCAGTCACTTGCTCGCCTAGAATGGATTTTTAATCAACACTTAGGGTGTACGAACATTAAACATAATTATGTTCACTAATTAAATTATTTTTCCTGATTGTGTCCCTAATTGTTAAAAAGAAGTATAGCAAAAATAGTATACATAACTTAGCAGCTATTACTACTTAGATTAAACAAGTTAAACAACAAGATATAAATTTATCTATATTTCTAATTTTGTTCATTTGTTTAAAAATAAATCAGGAACTTGTTCATTTTTAATAATAGTAATATTGGAGACTTCCTACAACACAATTAAGCATTACATGATAACATGCTATGCGTCATATGGCATTTTGACTCCAACTTCAGCCTGCTTTTCTTTTTGGATTTGCTTCCAAAGCCTTTGTACACCAAAGAACAAACTACAAGGCAGCGGTTCTTTGATTTTGGAGTTTTCTTCCCTAGATGGGTTGCTGTCCCCAGCTAAGGAACTCTGCCTGGGATTTAAACGTGGGACCTTCCACGCCATCCCACGGAGGGACTAACATATTATTTTTACCTGGGTTCATAGGGAGAAGGTGAGGGGCTGACAGCAGCTCCAAGGGGAGCCCATCTCTCTGTTGGCCTGTCGTTGCCGCTCTCGTCAAAGCTATCATAGTCTAGGTCAGCGTCCAGATCAACAGAATCAGACAGGTTAATTTTTTCTTTCCCTGATCTGGCACTGACGGGTTCCTCAGTGGCCATTTCTTGATCAAAGTTGTCAACTACTGTAACATAACATGAGGAAAAATTATTTGTAACTTTATTTTATAATGGTTAACATGTGGTTTGATCTATCTTTGTGTATATAACAATCAAATATAAAAGAAGGACCTCACACAGGATACATTCTGCAGATGATTTCCTGCTAATTCATTACATTTTTGGTGTGGTTCGTAGTAAAAATATTTTATTGTTCTTTTGAAATTAGTGTGAGCATACAGTAAACCTTTTCTAATGTGTGAAATATTTATGTGGCTTTTAAACAAATATAAATAAATCTCATGGCCTTTACCAAATGTAAAGGGGCTTCCCCTTTAGAGAAAGGGCAAAACAGTTTTAATGTTCTAGTATTCTGATAGATCAATGGATTCAATTTACACTATATCAAATGGAAAACACAAAGCGTTTTATAGAGGAATTATTAGATACCAGTTAAACATAAAAAACAACTAATAACATATTAGGGTTTTGTTATATTTTCATGTAACAGTAGCAGCCTTGTTGTCAATTGTGAATTCTGTTAATAAATATGCAGATAATAGGGAAACTCTTTTTTTAAAAAAAATAATTTATTACTAAAGCATTGTTTGTTTCTGGCAGATTTATGACAGAAAAAAATGTTGAAAACATTGTGTATTTGGTAATAAAACATTAACAGGGAGGGGTAAGCAATGGGGCAGAGAAATTTAAAAACTATGAACAAGAAATTAAATCTAAGGGATAAATATAAATCACTACTAGACAGAAATATAAAATGGTTTTCAGTTGAGTACTTAAAGAATCTGTGCATAATAATACTAATTATAGCCACATGATCTTCACGCCCAAGAAATTGAATGCATTTTGTGGTAGTGTTATATAATGCACATCCAAATCTTGAATGATTATATCAATCAATGGGGAGAAAATGGAGAGTGAATACAATTTAAAACAAAAAGTAAAATGATGTATTTACTGAGTTATAAATATTCTTTTTTAGCTGTAGAGAACGACGGTCAATTATTTAAAACATTATAGAGTTACCCACCTTAACCTTACATTACACAAATTATCCTTGCAGAAATTTCATCAGTTTAACTTGCTCACCTTAAGGAAAAACTTAATTTGAAGCTTACATACTCTGAACTACTTTTATTTACAACCTCTATATTAATTCAATCACAAAATGAAATGACATTACTGTAGAGAACTATTACAAAGCTAAAATAACTGAACAGTATTATTTAAGACAAAAAAAAAATCAAAACAATGATTGATAGCTGTAGCAGCTGTTACTTCCTGAGACAATAGATCAGTGCAGTGTGTTATAGGGTGGCCTATGTGAAACACAAGGGGCCAACTGTGATATATGTAACTCACTGAATTGTTACTGCATAGTATGGAAGATTTTTCTGGCCTCTGAATAGCAGAGAGATAAAAAACTTCAATAGTGTTTTAAAATTAGTTTGTAGTTATGGTACTACAGGGAGGCCTCTATGGGCAATCCTCATAATGCTGCATGTCATTATTTAACTAAGCTCTTATATCATTACTAGGTTATAAAGATATGATAATTAATTAGTTTTAATTTAGAATTTTTAAGTGATATAAACGATTTACACAATTTATGCCAAAATACCATACTCTTCTACATCCAGCCTTCCCCTAAATCACTTTGAAAATCAATACATTCTGCACATTAAATAATTATAATAGTGAAGCACTTTTTGAACGAAAAAAAAACTGTATAATGATGCACTAGTGCAGAAATCTATTTGTTTTTGTAAGTGATCTGTAGGCCTATTCTTTATTATTTTATTTCTGTTTACTGAGTGAAATAAAAAAAATAAAAACTGTTTCCCTTCTGTTAGCCTATGCTAAATTTAATTATATTAAGTTTAAATTAATTATAGGCCTAGATATTTCTGTAATATACCTATAGTGTAGATCTATGTGCTAATTATTGCTGCTACTAAACATTGTTCTAGTTCTTCTTACTACTTTTTTTTGGTAATCTATAATTTTAGGTACGTAAAATCGCCCCTGGCTAATAATGTCCGAAAAAGTTACCTTAGTGTCAAGGCTTTAATAGAAGTATATTGTGATATATTTGTGTCAAATATTATAGATAAATGAATAATAAACCTAAATCAATGGCTAAATATATCAATATAGGCAAGAAATTAACTTTAAACAGCAGTGTTAGCGAGCAGGATTTGCTATATAAAAAGCGGCCATCTGTAAGTTAGAGTGGCTTCCCCTGAATCTTGCGCCATAAGTTTACAATAAAAAAAATAAACAAGATGGCTGCTTTAGTAAATGAGCATGGTTGCATCTGTTGGAAACATAACTAGTCTTCATTTATTACTGAAAATTTTTAATTCAATTGTTTAAAAACAGGTACATAAATGAAACAAGGAAACATTTTTGTATTTTTCAAAACATAAATCCTCCTCAAAATGTGAAATAATTATTAAACTTTAAGGAGTCACCTGTTTTTCACATTACAAGTCGCGGAAACCGAAACGATAGATTACCGATCAACCAGATAATTTCCTATGCCTTATTTTTTGCCATCATTTTGACATTTGTTATCAACAAAAACTTCACTTCGGTTAGAAAGTTAGAGATTAGTATCATTAGTTGATTGAATGGTTGGTGGTGTTACTGACTACACAGTTTTGAGTTTAGTGACTTGAGTTACAGTGAGTAACACTCATCACACTGACTACACTACTCACTACTCACTACAGACTAGTCTAGATCTAGAATCTAGATACAAAATAATTTACTAAGCCCACCTGTCTAAATGTATTCCTAAAAAATATGAATTATATTCATTTTCAAACACTATTTTCCATATTTCTAAAGTGTTGCTGCATTCAAACAAATGCTGGTCTAAGCCTAGAAATCTACAAGGCCAGTTTTTCGATATTTTTATATAAATTATACACAACAGCCGGTCGCGCTAATTGTCAAAACAAAACTTGTAAACCTTCAGCTCCTTCAACTCAAGCGACGTTATCTGTAACGGCATACGACTAATAGTATTATAGTTATTATACTGATAGATCTACATAGTAGGCAGAGTTTCTCAGCCCCCCCCCCCGAAAAAATTCTACCGCCCTTCCCCCGAACGAAATGAAATTTATACAATTTATATAGAAAATATATACTTTTAACAGTGTCCGCCCCCCCCCCGAAGAAAGTCTACTGCACCCCCACCCCCCGAAAATTTCAAGTGCCCCCCCCCCCCCCCGGAGAAAAAAGTCTGGAAGAAACACTGATAGAAGGTATACTTATATGCAATGTATTTATATTAAAATGAATTTGCTAATGTATTTTAGTGAAATTTGTGTTATTATGACTTTCAGTACCAATAGGTAGGTCTACATCATAGCCATAAAATTAAAAGATTATGTTAAATTGAAAATCTTTAAGTAGTTTAAGCCCCCTAGTGAGGCTCTGTATCTGTTAATAGCCCATAGGTCTAAAAAAATATAGGCTTAGGGAGCTGTGAATACCGTTAGGAGGAGGGTTAAGAAACACGTCATGTATTCATTCATTCATCGTTGTATAGGCCTTTTTTTTAAAAAACTAAAAGTTATGTAAAATTAGAATAATTCTGACTATAATCATTGTTACTCTAGCTATATTATCTGTGAGAGAATATATATATATATATATATATATATATATATATATATATATATATATATATATATATATATAAAGAGAGAGAGAGAGAGAGAAAGAAAGGTAGGGTTGTAGAGCTCTGTAACGTTTTAATAATTAAAAGGGGCTAGAATTTTGTTACGATATGTAACAATAGGAAGTGTGGGTCATACTCTGCTTAAAGAGGCGTAGCGACCCTTCCCGGCGCCCGGGGACAAACTTTCGATTTGCTCCCCCCTCGAATTTTCTATGTGCACCCCCCCCTCGAACTTTTCATTTGCACCCCCCCTCAAACTTTCAATTTGTTTTTCCAACCCATTTTGGCGCCCCCCCCCCCCTAAGGCGGGGACATATGCCCCCGCCCCCCCCCCCTCGCTACGCCTCTGTATGCTTATATAATATTACATGACGCCAGTGTTTCTTCCAGACTTTTTTCTCCGGGGGGCACTTGAAATTTTCGGGGGGGGGGGGGGGGGGGGGCGGTAGACTTTCTTCGGGGGGGGGGGGCGGACACTGTTAAAAGTATATATTTTCTATATAAATTATATAAATTTCATTTCGTTCGGGGGGGGGGGGGCGGTAGGGCGTCGCCCCCCCCCCCCCCGAAGAGATGCCTGGAAGAAACTCTGCATGACGCCATTAGCCTAACGATGTGACCTCATTGAAAAATACATTTTGGAAAAACAATGAAATAGATCTAATTGCAATTATTTTTTTTGCTATCTTAAATATGATCAGATTATTAATAGCTTGTTGCCTAATTAATTATCAAGCGTTTTTTTTTAATCTAATACGTTCAATACATTCTGCCCGACTTGAAAATGATATGTGTGTTCTTTTCTAAATTTTATCTTTAGGTTTTAGGGAGACCGCTTTGTGCTGTAGAGTGTGTTGTGCCAAGATTCGGCGTTGTTTTTGTTGATTTTACTGCAATCAATGTCTACATACTTTCTTTAATTATTTACACATTACAAATTAACAATGCCTAAGTAAGTCTGCATATCTTATATGTGATACTTTATTATAATACTGAACTTTAGGCCTTAGAGTTTTTTTTTTAAAGTTAAGAAATCAGATCAGACCCCAGCAGTTGAATGCCCGTGGTTGGTGGGTCACTGGTTACTGACTTGAATACTGGTGGTTAGTCAAAGTCTTTGATAAAATTTTAATTTAAAAAAAAAAATTGAAAACGTAGGCCCTGATGGCACCATCTGATAGACCTCATTTATCAAAACAAAAATACTTTCATTTTGATTTTAGCTTAAACTTATGATTATGAATTTTTAAGGGTGTGGGGAAATTGTGAGACGCGAAAAGCGAAATGGCGAGGCGGGAAAATGCGAGAAGGTAATGCGAGACATACCTGCGGAATTAAGGGTAAACAGCGAGACACTTTTTGCGAAAAAAAATTTTCCTTTTTTTTTCCATCTTTATTTATTTAAATTATTTATTTTTTGTTTTAAAATAAACAAGCATTTAGCCATACCCTTTAACACGAGTGTTGTATGTTGTTATTTTTTATCTAGATACTAAGAAGATAGATAGATCTAGATATAGATCTATCTATTTAAAAATCCTAACATCGTTGCTGTGCTACTGTCATCGCCCGCTCTTGTTAGCGAGAGGAAAATCCCGTCTCAGTCGGCATTAATTTAAAAATCTAGCCCGCTCATGTTTATACAAACGTGAGCTGTGTCATTGTGAATTGGTATAGTCTTGTCAGCAGGAGAGATATTTTGCAACATCTATTTATGGATTTTTGTACTTGCAAAAAGTGTAAAAGTATAAACAATTCTAAAAAGTGCAATTTATTTTTTTATTAAGTAATTTTAATTACAAACAAAATTTACAAACAAAATCTTCTGTAACAGTCCTCAAACACACCTCGTGACACCATCTTTCACACATAGTACACCCAACCCAGTTCATTAGACTCCCATTTATACATTTTTCTTTTGCTACTTCTTCCAATCCATATTCACAACATTTCACATTCTCATCACAGTTGACCTCCTCGTTCATCCCACAAACAACACTGGCACCCATGTTCTCATCATCATCATCCGCACGCTCAACATCTGTTTTCCGTTTTTTATAATTTCCCAAAATCTTGTCTAATTTCGGTAAAAATTGAGTATTTTAATCAATTCCTATTACAATGTATTAAAACAGTTTTCTAAAACGCGAAAAAACGTCTAAAATTATTTTTCTAACATTGCTTTTTTATAGTGTGACTTCACATCTAACCCCCCCCCCCTCCTCCCCCTCATCACACATCGTCATAAAATTACAGACCCCCCCCCCTACGAGTGTGACGTCATTTATGGAAGACCCCAAATAACACCACCACCAAAACCAAAAAATTCAGATAAGTTCAACTTGGTTTTAAAAATATTTGAAGTAGTCGCATAGCTTACGATATAGCACGACCAACTGATAATATCGGTGACGTCACTTTATTTTGTTGTATCCAAATGATGTAGGCATTTCCTTGTGCTTAGATTTATATGGTAAAAAAAGCTAGAAAAAAATCGTAGGCGGCGGCTATAATACAAAATTTCTATGCAACAATAGAAAATATGTTTGCGGCGGCAGCGGATCCGGGCACAGCGATCTTCAAAGACGGTAAACCAGGCGGCCTCGGCGTTCCACACAAAAGACAGAAGTTGATCTATCGTCTGTGGTATTTCCGTCGGTTTCGAACAAGGTGGTATTCTAAGTCGACACAAAAGATGGGGGGAGTTGACAAATCATCAGTATGTCTAGCGACGGAAAAATCGGAAGTTTTAACAATGTAAACGAAACGTCTTTGAAGTCTTGACCAAATACCACTGAAAATCGGGTGCGGTAAATTTTTTGCAGAAATCTTCGCATTTCAACACCACCCAGCGTAAGTATCGGCTTGTGGTAAAATGCGAGACAAAAAAGTCACGTGACCGACCGTTTTCGCACCCTTCTCGCATTTTCCCGCCTCGCCATTTCGCTTTTCGCGTCTCGCAATTTCCCCACACCCAATTTTTAACGTATTTTATTTTTAGGGTTTTGAAAGATTAGGCCCTATTAAAAATTAAAAACTATGTTATCAAAGAGGGTCACCCCCCCCCCCCCCCCCCCCAAAACTTTCAAATAAGCATTGTTTATAGGCAACACACAATTTGTTGCCAAAATTTTATTATATTTAATAATAGGCCTATCTTACTGAAAATTGCCCTAAATGTGATTTTAAAAAAAATATTTGTTTTCATAAAATGTACAAACATCTTCACTCACTAGATTGCTGCATTATGTTTTCTTGCCTGCGGGCGGAATATTCAACCATGGTTTGGTAGAATCTCTGTGAGTTCAAAACTTCAGCAGGCCTAATTATATCATATGTCATAGGAATGAACATGAGATTGTTGGGGATGTTACTCCCTCACCCCCCCCCCCCCCCCCCCCCCACATCACACCCCCCCCCCCCCCCCCAAATCTTATATTTAAAACAGTTCTAATTCTGGTCATTTTTGTTTTTTGTAAGTTCACATAGGCTTATAGACTTAGAACAACTACCACTCATGCCAGATAAAAACACTAACCTTACTAAAGAACAGTTTGAACTAGCTATTAAGCTACATCTTTCATCTGTCTGTCCTACTACTGCTGTACTGTCTTTTTACCATATCTAGATTCTATTCTTTTTTTTAACAAGCGCCTCCCTTTGATCAGCATTGAATTGCTAAGACGAAACAAATTCGGTTGCATTCAATCTAGAGAACTGATTTAGCATAGTAGAGCATTCTGTGCAAATTAAATGCGTCCTACTTTTTATAATATATTTTTTTACTGATTTGAATAAATCTAGCTTTTAAAAAGTAAAAAAAAAGTTCACCTGTTTCTGGGTCCTCTGTCCATAGGCTGGATAGTGTGGTCAGCACTATGCCCTCAGTCTTTCCCCAACATCAGTAAGGTGAACTCTGGGACATCCAACTTACGGACTCGAGCAAGGGCCCAATTTCGAGTATCTAGGTTCTAGAGGAATATCATTGTTCACAACCTTTTTTTCCTCTGCCCCACCTAAATCAAGCCATTCTAAAATTCTAATGTCCCCTCTCCAAATTTCAAATATTAAAAATTTTAGGGAAGTTTGCAAAGTGTCAGTGCAAGATAGAATGTCCTCCAACTAGGCTGGGTTTCAAGCAATAATGCTGCATCTGTATATTGACAGTGTGAGGTCACACATGAATATTGTATCAATATAAAATAATTTTTTTGCTTCAGTAGGTTCTAATTCCTGTTGTATTCTAGTAGTAATGAGGAACAAATACCTGTGGTTGTGCTTTAATGATGCTGATTTTACATTGTCACTTGGAATTATCCTACAAATGAACTAAAATTTTCTATATAGCTTTAATTTGTTTTTGATACTTTAACGATGTTTAGCAAAATCTGAGATGGCATTGAATTATTACACTCCAGGTGATGTAAGGAGAGAAACCTAGCCACATACAACTTTAAAAATTATAAGGGGCACATTAGCTTAGGCCTACCTTTTAAATAGGGTATAATTATCTTTGTTCCATAACAATAAAACCAACTCAGCTCGTCCAGCCATGAAAAAGGAAAACATCTTTATATCAATCTAGTTTGTTTTTGGCTTATTGTTATCCTATTCAGAACTAAAACATGTTATCCTATTCATGCCATATATGTTGCCCTAAAAGAAGCAAATATTTAAGAGCACACTCTAAAAGAGCAAATATAAACACAAAACTTAAGTCAATTATTTTTTCACATACTTAATCACAGACTTGATAGTACAAAATCGAGGAGTCTTCTTATGTTTTGTTTTTAAAAGCTACACAGTTGTTACACAAACCACTTTCACATTAATGGTATTGATGTAATATAATTATCTACTGCATTCTTGTTTCAGATATTATTGTGATTACTGCGACACCTATTTGACACATGACTCTGTAAGTAACTAAAACTTAAGTTTTCTCCATACTACTTTTTGTATTTCATGTGGTAGAATGTAATGGAACGCCTGCATGTGTTGAATATTGAGAGGAAATTACAGCAAGCCTTTAGTCCAGTTGTATGCAAAAAAAGTATCTATTGTGTATTTCTGAATAAGTTCTTGTTTGAGAATTTTCTATCAGCGATACTGAGACAAAGTATCTTTTTGTCTAACTTTCATTGGCTCCTAGTTTTAAAAAAAAAACTTGTCTGTCAAAGTTATTGATTCTTTGTTTATGCCTAGTCCTAATTTATTACCTGGACTCTTTCAAAATTTTATATGGTGAAATACCATTAAGTTTAGCAATTAATTTTAATATTTCACCTGCCTGCTTTTGAAAAATAAAAGAAAAAATTTTAAGAGTGTTTTCTGTAACAAAAAATTGCCAGCTGAGCCTGATGCACTCAAATATTTTCCCTTAAGTACCCTAACTTATATACACACACAAATAAATAAGGCTTACAAAAATTAAAGAAGTTTTTTTAAGGAGCCTTACCCCTTATGTATGTACTTTTTATATAATAAGTAAATATTTTCTCTAGCCCTCAGTCAGAAAGACCCATTGTAATGGTCGTAAACACAAGGAGAATGTGAGACTTTACTATCAGAAATGGTTGGAAGAACAAGTCCAGAAACTGGTCGATGATACTAGTAAGTTTTGATTTCACTTGCAAGTTAATTCTTTAAAACAAGATAAATTATTCACTTTTATTTTGTTGCTAAATACTTTTGTGAAAACATTCTTAAATGTTTTTTTTTTAAACTGTCAACAGCTGCTGCGTACCAAGCTGGAAAAATCAGTGCCAATCCCTTTACAGGGCCGGGTATGCAGGGACCTGGAGGTGTTATGATTCCACCACCTGGAGGGCGTAAGTGTTTACAGATATTGTTACTTGTGTTTTAATTCTTGTTACATGCAATAGTCTATATATATAATTCTCTTCTGGGAGCCGCTAGAAAACAAGCTGCAAACGCTCTCCCTACCTCCCCACCCCTAAATGGTTTTAGTGAGCTATGTTCACTCTAAATGTTTACAAGCAGAGCCAACAATTTTAAACGTAGGGGGGGGGAGGAAGGGGGGGGGGGGGTCCTTAACGAGCTACTTATAGTGTTTTAAAGAAATATTTTCAGTGGCAGCGTTGGTACTGTCGAATTCACAAATTATGAATTACTGAAAAGTAGAAAAAACAAAAACTAAATAGCGGCGTATGTTATGCCGCGGGCCGGCTCGTTTGTTATATTTTCTTTCTTACTGCATTTCACATAGTCCATTCTGCACTGGTCTATTGTCTCAGCTGCCACAACTAGCTATCAATAGCCTGTCGCTTGACCTATTTTTTTTACCATCATCATGGTAATGAGGCTGTCGAAAACAACCATACTGTGATTCCATTTTTTAAAGTTTCACGGTTATTGCTGAAATATATACTTATAATCATTATTTTTTTGTATTATTCAACGATACCGATCTAGTTTTAACAATGAACAATAGGTGTTTACTGCAAACTTGCCAGTTGTAAATTTTTTGTGTGTAATCGCTGAGAATATTATCAAGCAGAAAATAAAAGTAAACAAAATGTGAATTGCTTTGTTTGATATTATATGGTAAAGATACTCAAAAATACTCTAAACTATAGAAAATTATATATTGCATCCTACTAAATTAATTTCATTATTTTAAAAAAAGTCATGCAGGGTAAAAAAAAAACCTTCATAAATTAACTTGATCGAGGCAACAGCTAACTAAGCCTGTCCATTTTGCCCACCTTGTATTTGAATGGGAAAAAATCTAGCAGACAACACATTTCTGCTGCTTTGGCAATGAATGATCATTCACACCACAAGAACACTCCTTAAAAACTAACCCACTGTATTAGTCATATCATCATGGCCATTTAAAAACAAACATGTTTTTTTTTTCACAAATATTTTTTTAGGCTAATGATTAAATTTGATAATCAAAATCGGTATCAAATTAAAGGTAAATAAATGTAGTTTTTAGGCTACACCCTATTATCAATCAATGTTTAGATTTTTTTGTTCCTAAATACTGTTCAGTTATGTCAGATTTGTTATGTAATATAATAGTTCTCTATGGTAAAGTGATTTAATTTTGTTTGAATTAACATAGAGGTTGTAAATAGGCATTAGCCTCGCTATACTACTTTTCAATTAAGCTCAGATTTTAATTGCTTTTTTTTCTGCCAGCAAATATGCCTAAACCAATGATGGGAGGACCTGGTATGCCAGGGCAAATGGGTCCTATGAGAGGACCAATGGGGCCAGGTGGTCCTATGATGCCAATGATGGGCCCAGGACCAATGGGTCCTATGATGCCAGGTAATTTTTATAACACATTTCATATTAATAATTTAGCTTTTACTTTAAAATTTTTTTATTCCATTGTAAGTTTATTGAAAGTAAAGTGAGCGTTATATATGAGTCAATCTTTTCTCTGTAAAGAATACAATAATCTAAATTAACTCTTTGACCACTAATTTGGGTTATTTTTTCTTCTTCAAGGCATGAGGCCAATGGGACCGCCTATGGGAGGACCTCCAATGGGAATGATGCCAATGGGTCCAATGCGACCAATGATAAGAAAATAATCTCTGGCACCTCTCATTTGTACATAGTCATATTACTTTTGTTTTTAAGTCATACTTGTGAATGAATGTTGTATGGGTGTATCAACCTTTGTTGAATAAAATTTGTTTTTGTACTGAAAAATTGTTTTCTCTCTAGTGGTGGTATTATTTTTGCAGGATATAAACAGTAACTACAGAACTCTGCTTTGTTCAGGTCTTCTCCTTTATTCTAAATTGTAAGATACTAGAGGGCATTTCCTCCAAGTATTATTTAGTGATTAGTGTCAATGTGCTAGGTATATGACTTGACTTTTCTTCCATATACTCTATCCACCTAAGGACAAACTACAAGGCAGTAGTTTTCATTTTATTTCCTCTAACAGATACCTTGCTGTCCCCAGCTATTCTCATCTCATTGGTAGAATAAGATAATTGCCATCTGTTATTACAATTGGCTATATAAGTACTAGCTGCATCCCGTGCTCCGCCACGGTAAATCTTTTTAAAATGTACCAACTTGGGAACAGAACAAAACTAAACACAACACAAACGAACGCAAAAAAAAAAAAAAAAAAAAAAAACGAACAAACAAACACAACACTCATAACATAGACACAATTTAAATGCATTCATACAGGCATATTGCTCACAGTCTAGCCCGTAGCGCCAAATCGCGCCCTTTCCGGTGATTTGCACCCCCCCTCAAACTTTCGATTTGCACTCCTTCCCCCCCTCCCTAAAACTTTCGATTTCCACCCCCACCCCCCCCCTCGCACATTTTTTCCAACCCACTTTGGCGCCCCCTAAGGTCGGCACCCGGGGACATATGCCCTCCCCTCGCTACGCCTCTCCTATAAAACCCCTAACTTGTCCTCAAACCGAAAGATAGAATAATAATTAGTAAACAGTATAAATAATAGGCAGTATTTAAAATATCCGTGTTTCACCTAAATATTTCACTTTATCCATTCACGCATTTTTCCCCCAGTACTTTAAATTTTAAAAATTTACAATAGAGTTTCATAACTAAAACCATTGCGCACCATCCACCCAATGAAGGTGATGACGCGCCTATAATATTGCGGAATAGTCGATTAAAAATTATAAATAGTAAACAGTAAATTCAGTGAATGAAATAAATAAAAGATTGCCTTTTATCAATCCATGCTAATTATAATTTTCTAACAATCCGCATCCGCACAATTTGCATTCACATTTTGCTAATTATATTATTGCAACACTAATTCCTTCTAGTACGTCCGTACATTTGCATTCACATTTTTTTTTTATTAGCGTGAGTTAAATTTATTTTTGAATTACCTCCCTTGTCAAAATTAGAAAAAAGAGTTAAATTAATTTGATTTTTCTAGCCTACTGTTATTACGTTATTAAAATGTTTCCACCTTTCTCAGGCATAAAAAAGAAAACAATATTTGACATTGATCCTTTTAATATGTTTTAGCAATGTGCGTGTATTTAATATTCTCTTTACGTTATGCAAAATTGTACAAACAGTGGAAATTATAAAATAGCTCTATGCCGCTATATAAACAAACCCTACTCTTTTACTTGTAATAAGACACTGCGGTGCACTGAAAAGCACAGCTTGGTGCGTAGCTTACTTTTATAGTCCCAAAATCTATAGCGATGACGGACGGAAGGACACGCTCAGCCCGATTATATTATAGATGTGTACTTCAAAATCAAGTTATGCAACCAGTTGTAATAGTCCAAACAATTAGTCTCCTTGTGCATCACCAACTACATTATAATTAAACATGCTTTATCACCACAATCGGTAAAATGTAGGAATATCAAACAGAAATACACTTTTTTCCACACAATTTTTTTTATTAATTTAAGAAAGCTGTTATCAGACAAGAATTAATAATATTGCAAGCTTAAACTAATTATAATTGCCACTGTTGTGTCTCATGCTTTCAATATAAAAGTAGTTTTCCTAACCTACATGAAAAGCACACAATTTCAACGATAGCAACAAGCTGTGAAAGCTAAGAAAGTAAAAGGCACAATACATTTCAATCTGCTACTTTGTATTTACATTATTTTAAATGTTGATTCAAAACAAAGAATTCATGTTGAAGATGTTTCTTGCAGATTGTGAGGTAATCTTTCTATTATGCAACAGCAAAAGTTGAAAGAAACAATACAAAGATGGAATGATTACAATTAAAATGTTTCAAATCTGAAAATAAACTCAGGTGAGATCAATAATCACTCACTAACTAGTGCAAATAAATTCTGCACATAAAATGTGCTCGTGTGTACAACATTAATACTTGAAAATTAAATTTAAGAAAAAAGAGTGAACAGAAGCTGTCTTTTTTTTTTTAAGCTAATTACAAAAATCATAAAAAAAATCTGCTAAGATCTAATTGCTTATGTTTAATTAAATTCTGTTCCTGGTATGAAAAAAAGGTAAATTTGTTTCTAATTAATTTTTTAAGCTGTTGGTGAATGTCTAAATTTCTTTTTTCAAAGAAAACAATTTACACTAGTATCCTTCCTCAACACCCATGTTAAATACTCCATTTTTCTTCTGTGATCTAAACTTGTTCAGCAAGAAATCTCCACCAAAGTGACTTTTAGAGCTAACAGTTGGATCCTTGGTGGGTGCAAAGCCAATGCGGTTGTTTCCCAAGTCAAACTCAGTGTAGTAGGGACCAATGAAAACATCACCCAAAATCCACAGAGGTCCCATTGGTGGTGGGACATCCATTCCTATGAAGCCACTAATGCACTGTGATTGGCCCATTGTAGTCACCTGTTTAATAAAAAATTTATTAAGTTAATTTTAACTTGACAGAATTTAACATTAACTACATTATTAAAATTAATTAATAAAAAATACAAGTACATTTAATCTGAGTCAATGGCTACTACGGCACATTACAAGTTGATATGTTATAGTTATATTGAATTGTGTTAGAGAAAATCTTTTCCAAATTTAGAACGAAGAAGAAGAAAAATAATCAAGATTGTATTTTTTTGGGAAATAAACAATACTAAAAGAGCAAAGAAGATCATATATATATTACCATCAGATAGATATATTTCCAAAAGAGACATGAATAGAAATAAATACATTATAAGACAAAAAGTCTCTACTAAAGAAAGCTGTCCATATGGTATATTACAAATTAATGACAGAGACAGTCCAAGACAAACTTACGGTGAGCACATACTGCTGGGGTGTGAGTAAAAACTGCTTTCCTCCAATGGTAATGGTCACATTTGGCATCTTGGGAATATTGGCACAGACAACAAGGTACTGTAGATACAAAAATCTTTCCATTAGTCTACACAACTGAAGGTTTATGGGGACTTAGCTTTTTATTCGAAGGACATTTGTTTAACCCAATTCTTGAAACTATTTGAGCTAAGGGAGATAAACCACAATTAAAATTTAGAAAGCTGCAATTCCATTGAAAAAACGAAGTTAATTTAGTTGCTTTTAATAAATAAATTAAAATACAAAGTAAAAAAAACTAGCTATTTATCTCTGATAATCATATTAAATAATAAAATACGTCAGTGTGCAAATTAATAAGACATATCTAGTAACTTTAAATAGAGTGGATAAAAACATCTTTTTCCATTAAAAAAAAAAGCATCTTATTTATTTAAACTAGTTGTTCACTCTATCAAGTTACTTGTCTACTTTGTTAAAAACAACAACAATGTTGAGTAGCAGAGGTTTAAAATAGCAGGGTTAAAATCTAAAAAAAATTATGGAAACAAACCTCTCCTTCAATAAACTTGGTGGCACCAATTTGGGCATTCAGTTTCTCAATTTCAGAGCTGGGCCCAGCCAAGAGAGAGGTGCCAGTGTCAGCAATGGCATTGCATCCTCCGTCACAGTATTTAGTTGTCTGAACTGTCAGGCTGCAGTACAAGCGTGCATGTTCAAGGCCAAATATTAAATAAATATTACACAACACAGAAAAATTATAAGCTTTATGGTTAATGACCAATTACAAATTTAATAAAACAATTTTTTTATACTGAAAAATTACTTAAAAAACATTAAAAGCTTTACTTTTATTACTTACATTTTTTTTATTGTTTAATAGGTAGATACAACAAACATGTGAAGACAAATTGTTTATCAAGATATATTTCTCAGCTTAAATATAAAAATTAACAGTTTTGATCAAAGCCTTACCCGTCCATTTTAAATTCCCAATATCCTCTCTGAGTGACAGGTACATAAGTGAAGGATCCTTCATAGAGGGATGGATCACTGCCACCAAAGACAATTTCGCCTCCTTCAGAAGCATTGGGATTTCTGGGGGAGAAAAAAAAGTTCGTATATGCTGAATGTGGTCCTCAGACACTACCAACTGAGCAGCTAAAATACAAGACTTGATGCATGGAAGGAGAGGCAATTTGGGGCAGTGTGGATTGGTAGTTCAGATCCCGTTGGGTTTAAAAACTGCTTTGTCTCTACTTGTTTTAATTTTTCTGTACCAATGTCTACCCTTGGGGTTAAAATATCACTTACTGTTTATATAGCTAAAATACACACTGTACCAACTATGTAGCTAAAATAGTATATCTAACATAAAATTTATAACTTTATTTTTCATGCTAGTAACCCAATGTAATTTGATATTAAAGTTGCTGAAATTTACTTCCTGCTTAAGGGAGATTGTTCCACATTTAAAATTAGGCTCCATTTAAATGAATACTAGCACTACAAGGAGAGAAATAATTTACTGCTAACTGCCAATTTTTTTCCATGTGTAAAACCTAGGATACATGGATCCCAGTTATAAGCAGTATCACCCTCTGCACGATTTTCTACTTTTTTCTTTGTTTTTAGCTATTGGGGGTAATTTTCTAATTAAGTTCTAATTTTTAAATTAAGTATTACATGTAAACATGTTATGGGCCTTATGGCATGTTAACCAACTTTAGCATACTTTTCTTTCTGGATGTAATGCCAAAACCTTTGTCTACCCAAGAACAATCTGCAAGGCAGCAGTTGTTTGACTTTGGCAATTTCTCTGTTAGATGGGTTGCTGTCCCCTGCTAGTGGCCTCATCTACACAGGGGCCAAAACTCAGAAATTCCAGAGTTAGCAAGCATGAGCTCTCCTAGCAGACCACGAGGGGGGGGGGGGGGGGGGACACACTGTTAAAAGTATATATTTTCTATATATACGGGGGCGGGGGGTAGACTTTCTTCAGGGAGGCAGAGCCCCTGCCTGGAAGAAACTCTCATTACCTAATTTATAACAAATATGTTAACCTTAAACCCAGCATACTAAAGTCTAAGGTACCTGTTCAAAAAGAATGAAAACACTGGTGCGTCCACTAGCTTCTGTTGTACCATCCTGTAGAATGGCGGAACAACTCCATCAACAGATATGGTGTCGTAGCCCAGGCCCAAGATACCATCAAACTTAGCAGCAACAAATGTGATGCCTGGCTGAGTCACAGCCTCAGCAAAGGTTTGATTCTGGATCTTCAGACCAGAAATCTGAAACAGTCGTGGTTTAACACTATAAACATTTCAACTCTTTGCTTAATCTTGAACATTAAAAATAAAAAATGTTTTAAAGTAAAGTACATCTTTTTTAATATTGTAACAGATTAGACTTTTGAATATTTAATTTTCAAAGGATCCATAAATGTTTAAGATGAGAACGTAAAAAAAAGTATTTATGTTGGATACCCCAGAGGAACCCCATATGTCTATACTGCCTTTATGCTAAATACAGTACACTGGAATGGTACCTATAGAACCAAATGTAGTTTTTATATCTTTTGGCTAATTCAGAAATAATCAGCTTTCTAATTCAAAATTTATATATCAGAACCTTACTTATTTGTTAGGTCTGAAAGGTTGACCACTTTTTATAAAAAAAAAAAAAAAAAAAAAAAAAAAAAAGCAACAAATTTAGTTTGATCCACTACACAGACATGGCAAAATAAACTTACAGTCAGCACATCAGTGCTCAAAAATCCTGTCAGACTCCCAGTGCCATACTGGATTGCAAAGCTTGTTCCATTGGGCTGGTAAGTGCCAGACTTGGTACTGTCATATTTGTTGTGTAACACTGTTGATTGCAACAAAAAAATTATTTCTGATTCTACCGAAATGTGTTAATTTTGTTCAAACAGATACCAAATGCAAATATTTATGATGAAAATATTCAGCAGAATAGTTATAGGAAAATAAAATAGATGGTGAAAGTGAAATTTTGGTAAAGATATTTGGAAAGATGTATTTATTCAAAGGCCACAAATTTCAATCAAATATGGTAAAGGGAAACAACCTGATGAATCACTCACAATAACATTTTCATTTAACTTACAACAGGCAATATCAGTCCATTTGCATTTTTTGGATGGCACCCAAAGGTTAGATGATCCAGTGTCAAAAACAACCTTGAAAGATTGTTCAGGAGTTCCAAGACCAATCACACCATAATACTGGGCCTAAAAGCAATCACGCAGTTGATTATTCAAATACATTTAAACTTTTTTTCTCTATCTAGATAACATATATCCTAATGCTGACTTGAAAGTGACCTAATTAGTTTAAAAAGAAATGTTATCTATTTTTAATCACTGATTTAGATTGACAAGGGTCTAGACCATCTTGTTATCTAAGTAGTTCAGACATTTTCCTATAATGTATGTATGCAGTAGATGTCAAAAGAGATAGATTCACATACACTATCAAACTGTTATTTAAGAGAAAAAAAAAACAGAACAAAGAGGTTAAAAGTTGGAAAAATATGTTCAAGATGAAAACTGCTGGGTAAAACATTGAATCATGAATGAGTAACAGTAACAGGAAGAAACAACTTAAGGATTGTTGTATTTTAGAAAGCTTATTTAGACCTGGATCTATATATAAAGACAAAGACTTACATCTAAGTAGTTGTTTAATGGCTCATAGCCAGGTCTATCCAATCTGTTATAAACCTGGTACTTCTTTAGCAAATATTCAACATTATTTTGATGCTCCTGAAGTGTTCGTCTAGCTGTTTTCACTTTTTGAAGTTTAATTCTGAAAAAAAATAAATGAGGCATAACAAAATAGCATTATTATTTATGTTTCAATTTACTTGTTCATAGCATGAAAATAATATTGGACTAATGCTTACTGTAATGAATATAGCCAAGAAAAGGTTTTTAATCTCATTAAATTATAACGAGCTGACCCGCGGCGTATCATACGCCGCTATTTAGTTGTTTTATATTCTACTTTTCAGTAATTCATAATTTGTGAATTCGACAGTACCAACGCTGTCACTGAAAATATTTGCTTTAAAACACAATCAGTAGCACAATCTTTAGCTTCAAGCTTGATCTAGGATTCTGGATACTAGAATCTAGCTAAATGAAATCTTAAACAACTAGATATATATTAGTTAAGGGTCGCCCATAAATGACGTCACACTCGTAGGGGGGTTCGTAATTTTGTGACGGTGTGTGATGAAGGGGGGGGGGGGGGGGTTTCAGATGGTGCAACGTCACACTTTTTTGCATTATAAAAAAGCAATGTTAGAAAACGAAGTTTAGACGTTATTTCAGGTTATAGAAAACTGTTTTAATAAATTGTAACCGTAATTGATTAAATACTCTATTTTGACAGAGTTCAGACAAGATTTTGGAAAAATATCGATGTTTTAAAAAAAATTCCACTGCAATATTGTGGGGATGGGGGGGGGGGGGGTTGTAGGCTGAGGTGTGATGATATTTTAGGGGGGGGGGGGTGTCTAACCTTTTGTGACGATGTGTGACGGGAGGGGGAGAAGTAAAATCGTCAAAAAAAGTGTGACGTCATTTATGGATGACCCCTTAGGCCTAAATAAGTAAATATAGATCTAGAATTAACCTTTAGCAGCATAGGCCTAGTAACTAGATTCTAGAATCTAGTTCGGTAGTTGCTAAATCATAAATGTCAATAAATGAAATGATAAAATATAAATAAACTTACAAAGTACCAAGTCTTACATTTGATTAGATTATTAAATGTATTAATTAGGCCCTAATAATTATTAATTAATAATTAGATCTAGATCTAGTAGCCTACTCTACTAAATGTCCTATTAATTATTGTATTAACTACTAAATAACTAGGCCTATGGGCTATCTACTTATAAATTATATTCTAAACTGTAGGCTACTAGATCTAGATCTATTAAAAAACAAATAAGAGGTAGATTTCAGGAGTTATTGTTGAGTATTGAGTATTGAGATTTCATTACCTTCGCAGCTCCGCTGAAGTTTCAACAACAAAAGCGACAAATAATAAACAGAGCACAAACGTTAGTTTCATGGTGGCGAATGTTAACGTTGCAACCTAATGCAACTAGATTTCTAGATCACTAGATCTAGATCTACCAGTGAATTTTTAAATGATAAACAAATTCACTGATTTGACAGAGGCAGAGACAACCAGCGTCAGAAATATATAGGCAGATTTATCTTTAATCGGCCTGTAAACTCCGTTATCACGTCGATATGAGTTGACTTTGTCACATGACAGTTAAAAAAAGACAACAAAATTGTTATGGCCGACTGCGACTACTTTAGTCTAAATTAAATGGTGGCGATACCGATTTTGAAAAGAACGTTATTTGTTACAAAAAATAACCAATGCATATATAATATATAAATCTGAATCACCCGAGTAAAATATTTAAATAGCCTATAATTATAATATTGACATATACTCATATAGTTAGAAAACATTCATTTCTTAATGTTAATTATTCTTTTGCATTTATTATGTTATCCGATTACAGCAAATAAACGATACATTGATTAGTTAATAATCCAGTTTGGTTGTTGGAATTTGATTTGGCTTTTATTTTTAGCTTTACCTTCAGATTTGTTATTTTGACACTGCCTGCAGAGGAGAGGATGCACATGATCTTCCAAGTCACCTGCCTAAGTCAACGTCAGCACACTGAATTTGATTTTTTTTTTTAAAACCAGGCATTAGCACTATTTGAAACGCGATATTCTGCGACTGGAAACTGAGCAGCAGTACGCGAATATTTGTGAAGAACTATATAGTCTAGGCAGAGGCGTAGCGACCCTTCCCGGCGCCCGGGGACAAACTTTTCGATTTGCACCCCCCCCCCCTCGAGATTTTGATTTCCACCCCCCCCCCCCCCTCAAACTTTCGATTTGCACCCCCCTCGAGATTTTCATTTGCACCCCCCTCAACCTTTCAATTTATTTTTCCAACCCATTTTGGCGCCCCATAAGCTCGGCGCCCGGGGACATATGTCCCCCCCCCTCGCTACGCTACTGAGTCTAGGCCTACTTTAGTACTTATGTATATCGTCCTTCGCTCTTGTATGAACTGATCTCTCATTTGAAATATAACAATACAGTGGCGTAGTTAAGAAAGGGGTGGCTGAATTGCCCAAGGTTGCAGACAGTGGCGGATTAAGGGGGGTGCTGAAAGGGCTGCAGCTACGGGCCCCCGATTTTTAGGGGCCCCCAAATTTACCACCTAATTGTAACTAGTAAAGGCATAAAAAAAACCAAAAAAAAACCCATCTACATTGGTCAGAATACAATAGGATATCACATTACGTTTTTTTCCCAAATTTACATACCAGGTACAAGGGGGTGGAGGCGGAGGGAGGGGGGGGGGAGGGCTCACTTAATCGACCCATCGCCATCCACCTCAGGTAAAACAATCTCCAGGCGACCGTAGTTCTCTTTCCTGCACATAACAACTAGGTGCGACACTAATGTCTTCTTATAAAATACAGCATTGTTCAAATTGAGATGGGGAAGGGGGGGGGGGGGGTAACTCACTAGGCCTAACATCAACCGTGGCCTCAGTTGTAACAATAAACAATGGCGAACTTTGAACTTTAAGTTTTTTTCCAATTTAATTAAACTGTGAACTCTGCCCGACCCGTTATGGTAATGGAAACTGGAACCTCTTTTGTTGAGCTTGGCATATCACCCCCCCCCCACACACACACACACACACTTCCGGTATGTCCCCAAACTATATCTTCCTCCCCGAAATCCCATTCGGAATTACATTTGTTGAGTCAGTCATTCTTTTGGATTTATTCGCACGGAGTCTACTCAAGAGTTTAAAATTTTTCTTGATTTCCAACCCTCCACCATTATCCAGGCTTCAGACTTTTCAGATAGACAAAGTAATCCTAAAGGCTCGTTCATCAGACCTATATGTCAAAAAATTGCTTGCTGGAGAAAAAACGACAATTTGCAATTTCAGCAAAGAGCCGGACTTTTAATTAGATTCAGCCTTGTTTTTTTTTTTTTTTTTAAATTCTATTGAATATGTCTCGTAACTATCCTAGTGGAGCAAAAAAAACGCGCATTATCGGTGAAAAAAAGAAAGATCGAAGCTGAGCTTGCTGAAAAAACTACAAAACTGCTCTCCTTTTTCAAACCAACTTCGAGTACCAAGGAAAATAGTCACGTAGAAAAGGGATCTGCAATTGAATCAGACACCGCCGGGGTAAAAGATGTAGAGCAGGCTCCTACTTTAAAACAATGTGATTTGAAAGATGATACAGCAAAACCCCTTGAAGATAGCCATGCTATATACGACCTTCATTTTTGGCCAGAGCGGGAAAAGATGTCAGAGGCATTTAGAAACTATTGGATTCAACGTGGTACCACACCATGTCAAAACAAAAACGGGGACTTTAAAGAATCAGTCATACAGTTAGAAAGAGAGTCACAACGTCGATTCTGCACCATTTCTTTATTTACACGTGTCCATGCACGAACAGGAGAAAAATTTGAAAGAAATTGGTTGTGTTATTCCAAAACAAGCGGGTGTGTTTATTGTTTTGTATGTAAGCTGATGTCACCTATAACTAACAAAATGACATCAGGGTTCAAACAATGGAAAAGTGCCCATGAAGTGCTATCTAGGCATGAAAATTCCAAACAACACATTGATTCATTGGCAGCGCTGTGTTCACGAAAATCTACTGGTCAGATTGACATGAAACTTGTAACGCAATATGAAAGTGAAATTCAGTACTGGAGACAAGTACTTCACAGAATCGTGAGTGTGGTACAGTTTCTTTGTATTCGTGGTCTTCCGTTTCGGGGTAGAACTGAAGAGGTTGGTTCTCCAAACAATGGGAATTATCTCGGGTTGCTGGAGCTGTTAAGTCAGTACGATACCTTTCTCGCAGAACATAGCGGATACACGCCAACAAAGGACGTGGACATACATCCTACATATCTTCAACAATATGTGAGGAGATGATTGAACTTATGGGTCAAAAGGTTTTGTCTGTAATTGTAGATGAAATAAAGACAGCGAAATATTTTTCTATATCTGTAGATTCGACTCCAGATGTTTCACATGTTGATCAACTCACAATCGTTATTCGCTTTGTACAAGACACCGGACCTATTGAGCGCTTCTTAAAATTTGTACCAATGTTTTCACACACTGGTTCGGAAATAGCTAATTTAATACTAACATTTTTGGAAGAAAATGGAATTGACATTAAAAATTGTCGCGGTCAATCATATGACAACGCGTCCAACATGAGCGGCAAGTATAACGGCGTTCAGGCTAAAATCCGGGAGAAGTGTGACGTAGCATTGTATGTACCGTGCACAGCACATTCACTCAATTTAGTTGGGAACTGCGCAGCTGAGTGCTGCCCCACGTCAGTTGGGTTTTTTAATCTCCTTCAGAGCCTTTACTCTTGGCTTTCTGCATCTACCCATCGTTGGCATATACACAACAAGCACATGAATGGATTGCCTGTTGCTGAAGCTTTGTCGGAAACCAGATGGTCCGCTCGACATGATGCTGTTAAGGCTTTAAATAGAGGGTATAAGGAAAATATATCGGCTTTGGAGGAGTTAGCAGCCGATGAAAATCAACCTCTTAAATGTAGAGCTGAAGCTGAAGGATATCTTAAAAGTTTACAAAAACTAGAAACAGTAATATTATTGGAGGTATGGGATACAATTTTAGAGAGATTGCAAAAAACAAATATATCTCTTCAAGAAAAAGGTTTATCTCTTAATACAGCAGTTAATTTGTTAAAATCTGTTCTCCTTTTTATTGAAAGTCAACGTAATGAATTCGCTAGCTTCGAATCAAAAGGAAAAATTAAATGTGAAGTCAAAGACTACACATATTCCAACAGACGACCACTAAAGAGGAAGCGACAATTTGACGAAAGCAAAGTTTCAGAAATGCAACTTTCTCCTAGAGAAAAATTTATGACTGAAGTATTCATCTGTGTGATCGACCACCTAAATGCAGCTCTACATCATCGCTTAGATTCTTATAAAACTGTTCAAGAAATGTTCGATTTCTTCAGTGACCTGACCAACCTTAGCACTGGTGACATTACAGGAGCAGCTACAAAACTAATCAACAAATATCCCGATGATTTTGAAGAATGTTTTTCATCGGAGTTGATTCAATTCGCCGAGCTGTTTAAATCAATTCATGGGGGGAAAGAGCAAAACGTCTACAATGATAGCATTGAATTAGAAATGTTGATGTTTTTAAATAGATTCAAGTGCATTCAGAGCTTTCCAAATGTGCACATTACTCTTCGAATTTATCTGTGTATGATGACGTCTAACTGCAGTGGAGAGCGCTCATTTTCCAAAATGAAAAAGATTAAAAGCGATCTTAGAAGCACTATGGGACAGCAGAGACTTAGTATGCTCTCACTTATGAGCATAGAAAATGACATTGTAAGCTCACTAAATTATACAGAACTAATAGAAGAGTTTGCTATCAGGAAAGCTCGAAAATGTTCCCTATAAAAGTTACTTGGTCTTTAGTTCTAAATAAAAACAACTGTAATAAATGTAAGTATTCATAATTTCTTTTGCATTAGTAAATAAATAATTGTCACTTTAAATGCTCTTAAGTCTCAATGTAATTTAACATTAAATTTAATGTAACATTTTTTGTATATGCCATGGCTTCTGTTAACATTTAGCTTATTCCATTCAACCTTTATTTTTTGGAAAGGCCTCTGTTTTGTGATGTCATTATATAAACTACATATATATATATATATATATATATATATATATATATATATATATATATATAGTTTAGGGGGCCCCGGAAAAAGTTTCAGCCAGGGGCCCCGCAGAAGCTTAATCCGCCCCTGGTTGCAGATCCAACATCTTATCTTAATACTACTAAAAGTCAAGTTTGTTTACATGTTTGAATATTTTTTGTTTGTTTGTTTGTTTGTCCGATCGAGTATTGTGATATGTTCGACTCTATCTGGAGAGCTGTAAAATAGTATGTAGGTAGAGAATAATTTCTTAATGCAGACAGACTGTTAATCACAAATTTATTTAAAGACGTTAATTAATTTATTGATTTATTCATACGTAGAGTAACCCATTTTTTTTAAATGTTAAAACATTGACTAAACTTTGTGGGAATAGTGACGTCACAGGTTTTTGTTTACTCTTTAGTACAATAAAATGGCGGCGTCTATCGAAGAAAATTGTGTTCCCATTCAAAAGTTTAACGCGTTCTAAATCTAATTTTCTGTCGGTCATAACTTTAACAATACGTCCGTTTGCTGTATTTATTACGTTCCAACACTTATATCAATTTTAAACTGTCTTTTTTCATTTAGTTTTACAATAAATTTCTCTAGATCTAAAGATCAGCTGTCGAAGGAAAGTTATGAATCTAGCCTAGATCTAGATCTAGCCTAGATCTAGGTCACTAGACTCAATGTAAATTCTAGATCTAGACTTAATGTAAATTCTACATCTAGAATCTATTTCAGGCCTTAATACATCTAGAATCTATTTCAGGCCTTAATTATTTTATATAAATCTTTGTTTGGCTAATTTAAGATAAAATTTAATTTGAAAGTTACTAGATTCTACTACTAGACTTAGATCTAGATCTATGCGCGGAGACTCAGAAGTATAGTATAAAAATTCATTTGTGACGTCACGAGTAAATAGCTAAGTTGGTAGCGTAGTCCGCTCTCATGCGGGTGGCACAGGTTCTAGACCAATATGTCAATGATAATTTTTTTTCAATTTTTTTTTTAGATGTGAATGATAAAGTTGCCTATCTGAACTTGGCAGGATACAGGGCAGGTGAAGTAGAGTTCATCTGTTTCTTTGTCCTAAGCATATGAAAGGATAGTGTGGTCAGAGACATGCTCGGCTGGAATCGTTTTTTAAACGATAAAACATGTTGTCTGAGACTTGGCGGGACACTGGGCAGGTGAAGTAGAGTTGAGTAGGTCACATGTGACGTCAGTATATGAAGGGATAGTCCGAAATCGGTGTTTTCGGTGTTTTTAAAAGATAAAAAACATATTTTTGAATGTGGGGTCTGTTTTTTGTGACGATAAGTGACACTGCAGTAGCGTAGCGAGGAGGGGGGCGGGAGGGGGAGGGGAGGCGGGGGGGGGGGGAGGGGAGGCGGGGGGAGGTTGAGGGGGGAAGGGGGGCGGGGGGGACATATGTTGGGGCGCCAAAATGGTTTGGAAAAATAAATTGAAAGGTTGAGGGGGGTGCAAATCGAAAGTTTGAGTGGGGGGGGGGGTGCACATCAAAAGTTTGAGGGGGGGGGGGGGTTGCAAATCGAAATCTTGCGGGGGGGGGGGAGGTTCAAATCGAAAAGTTTGTCCCCGGGCGCCGGGAAGGGTCGCTATGCCTCTGAGTGACAGACGTGATGTTTTTTGATGGATGACCCCCGAAACCCACAGTTATCCAACGGATGACGGGTAGTCTAGTACAATCTACAACGATAATACGATGCTAAATTGGTAACTGAGTGATTTGTCACTGTTCTGTTATATAAGGTAGGGGGTCGTCCATTAATGACGTAACACTCGTAATTGGGGGGGGGGGGGTCCACAGAGGTGTAGCTAGGGGAGGGCGGGTGGGGCGGCCGCCCCGGCCGCCGACCTTAAGGGGGCGCCAATAGGGGTAGAGAAATTAATTTGAAATTTCTTTTTAAGCTGTATCGAATTATTCACTGTCAAAGCTACGGAAAAAAAGGACTACAAGGCTTCACACACCGATTTAACAACTTTATGACACCGAAATAGAAATTGTTTCAGGATAGTAACGGGTAAGAAGCGCCACAAACCTTTCCAACTGGGATGGGGGCGCTTTTTCACAGACAGGAATAACTATATATAGAAATGGGGGGGGGGGGGGGGGCGCAAAATTGATAGTCCCCCCCCCCCCCGGGCGCGGGATTAAGTCGCTACGCCTCTCTGCGACGTCACACTTTTGCATTATAAAAAAGCAATGTTAAAAAACGTATTTTAGACGTTATTTCGCGTTTTAGAAAACTGTTTTAATAAATTGTAATAGGACAGAGTTCAGACAAGATTTTACAAAAATATCGATGTTTAAAAAAAATTCATCTGCAATTTTGAGTGGGTTTGTAGGCTGAGGTGTGACGTCATATAAGGGGGGTCTGGCTTTTTGTGACGACATGTGACGGAGGGGAGGGGAGGTAAAAATAGTCAAAAAAGCGTAACGTCATTTATGGATGAACCCTAGGGGTGACATTTAGAGAAGATACGTCATTTGCTAGTTAATTTACCTCTGTCACAAAATTTATATTTTGAGTGGATTAGTGAAGAAGTTGACGTCCCAGAATCACGCATGGGTTTTTTTTACGAATCTATAAAGAAATGTGCAAATTTGTGTTTCCAAATTATTTTATTGATCATGGGTTATGTGTATATAAGAAAAGTGTGTGTGTGTGTGTGGGGGGGGGGGGAAGGGTTTCCTAGAAAAGTTATATAAAAATAAATATACAATGAGGCATAATAGAGCAGTACAATGTTATAGGCATACAATGTTATAATTCATGTGTTGTATTAATATGTGTCCGATCCCAAGAGTCCAAATCGAGAGTTTTTGCCCACATATAGGCATAGAATATATATATATATATATATATATATATATATATATATATATATATATGTATATATATATATATATATATATATATATATATATATATATATATATATATATATATATATATATACACTCATACATTATATATATATATACTCATACATTATATATATATATATATATATATATATATATATATATATATATATATATATATATATATATATATATATATATATATATATATATATATATATATATATATATATATATATAAATATATATATATATATATATATATATATATATATATAAATGATATATTAAAAATGTGTTGCATTATCCCATAACATTCTATTATCTCTCATTATCTATTAAATAGAGCCTTGGATTAGTTATCTTTTAATTAAAACAGCCGAGTGACCGGTCACGAGAAACCCAAGATCACGTCACGTATCACATATGTATGTGAAAATGTTGATTATTTCATAGGTACAACAAGGTTGGACTCTCCACTTTGACATGGTGTGTCACGAGCTTCTCCGTGGTACTGTGATACTAAGATGACGATGGATGGGGCACGTACTAAAAATGAATCTACATGACGTTAAAGGAGCGGCTCTAAACTGGACGAGTCAAAGAAAGCAAAGAAGGCCAATGGAGACGTGGAGGCGCACGGTGGAGAAGCAGCTGGCAGAGGCAGGACTGTCATGGGGGCAGTAGCGTAGCAAGGGGGGGGGGGCTGGGGGGGGGGGGTATATGTCCCCCGGGCGCCAAGAAGGGTCGCTACGCCTCTGCATGGGGGACTGACACTCAGGAAAATTGCGGGTGACCCACAAAAGTGGCAGCACCATGTGTTTTGGGCACAAGAAGAAAAAGATGATGACTGTGATATTTCAGCTTTGAGATTTTGATCTAAGACTCGACCTACTACTACGGTCCCTGACGTTATTTAATAACAGGTTTTGCACTGCATACACCGAATAATTTAACGACTACTAACGTGCAAATACATATTTCACTTCTCAACACTCTCCTCCCCACACCCTCATACTAACACGTAACAACAGTGTTTCATACAGACTTTTTTTTAATCTCCGGGGGGGGGGGGGGGGGGGCAGAGCCTCCCCCCCCCCTCCACGAAGAGATGCCTGGAAGAAACTCTGGGCACTAACACCACCAAATAATTTATGTATTTTATTAGTGCGATGAGTGCGTTACCCAACTACAAGTCGCGGGCTGGAGAAAGGATGTTCTATAATTTTTACACACATATCTTAAGTTTAACACAAACTATGCCGAAAAATTTCGTTGGGTGTGTTAGATTTCAATTGAGGGGAGGTAACAATGTTAATTGTTTATTTATCACTTACTTAGTTATCTTCCATGAATCGAGGTATTAGAGCGAGTTGTGTACATTTTGTTTCACGAATTGTAGTGATTTATTTTTAAACTACGCCGAACCATTTTGTTGGTGTGTTAAGATTTCAGTTGAGGGGAGGTAACAATGTTAATTGTTTATTTATCACGAGTGCCCGTTGTAAGATTCCCTCAACGGGCCATTTATCTAGTGTTTAACAAACAAATATCATTTTATCACACACCTATAACACAATCTACTCTCATGATTCTACACCGCTTTATACATCATCAACATCCACTACTCGCAGAAGCGTAGCGACCCTTCCTGGCGCCCGGGGACAAACTTTTCGATTTGCACCCCCCCCCTCAAACTTTCGATTTGCACCCCCCCCTCCCCCTCCAAGATTTAGATTGCACCCCCCCCCCCTCAAACTTTTGATTTGCACCCCCCTCAACCTTTCAATTTATTTTTCCAACCCATTTTGGCGCCCCCTAAGGTCCGCGCCCGGGGACATATGTCCCCCCCC